CCATTCTGCTGTTGCTGTTGGTACATCAGGGACTGGTACCATAGGGCAACATAATTCTGGTATCCGCCATCTGTAATGACCATGTCAGATCTCGTCTAGAATAGGTCGAAAGAGGGAGCTGCTACTTACACTGGGCGTAAGGGTCCGAGGCGTCTTGGGAAGAAGCTGGTGGTGGGTTAGTAGAAGATGTATCAGGGCCTTGTGAATATGACGGCCGGTCGACATCTTGGTGTCCACGGCCACGTGGAGGACCACCGCTTCCACTCTTCTGTCTCTACAAGTATACATTAGCCCAACGTTGTCAAGAATGAAACTACAGAGTGAGGCTGTAGAGGTGTTTCACATACCACAGCATCAACCTTCTCATCAATGGCCAGTTTGGCACGGGCGATGCTATCTCGAGTGCCAATAAGGGCAATTTCTCTCTGAGTCTCGCCCGGACCAGAGGACTGGGCGACGTTGATCTTGCAACCAGTCGTATTTTGCATGTCACGGATGGTCTCTCCCCCTTTTCCTATGATCATGCCAACAGCATCGGACGGAACATAAACAGAGTCGTTAATCTTGTCCGGCCCAGCACTGCCAGTGGCATCCCTGGGAGGAGGCTCGGACCGAGGGACAACTACAGCAGTGGCCTTCTTCGCGGCTGGGCCATCGCCTCTGGTGTCGCTGTCGACGATTTCCAAGATGAAATCTTTAGCACGAGCTGCAGCCTCCACTGTGCCGATAAGATTCACCGGGCGCAATCCATTAACGCTCTTTGACTCCCCCACGATGTTGATATGGCAGCCAGACCTTTCTTGAAGATCGCGAATAGTCTCGCCTCCACGGCCAATGATTAGACCTACAGTCCGATCAGGGACCATGATTTGCATGTGGTCCTCACCATCTCGCAGCGCAGTAGCGCCGCCTTTGTTGGGATCACGATTCTTGTCCTGGGCGGGTCGGTTCAAGGCACCCATGCCACTGTCCTCGATGATTCGGTTGATGGCATCCTTGACTTCAGCGCGACGCGGTCGCGGACCCGAGATCCTGCACTGACGGAAAGGGCCGCCATCAGTGGCAGCAAGGAACTGTACACGGCAATTGGTATCTGCCTCAATGCGACGCAAGTTTTCACCCTGGCGGCCAATGATCAAGCCGACAAGGCTGGATTCGATTTGAATCGTCTCTGAATTGTCATCTCCTCCGCGTAGTGGCGACCTGTCTCGCCCCCCACCTCCACCTCCACGAGGCGAAAAGCGACTTCTCGAGGGAGGCGAGTAGGAGCGATCTCGCCCATACTCGCGGCCAGCTCCACCCCGACGGTCATCTCGGTACTCGCCACGAGGGGATCGGGACCGCGAACGTCGGTAACTGCGGTCGTTGGGGCGCGAATCCGCGCCGTAGACGAGTGGTCGATCATAAGACGTGGCGCCATTGTCGGCAGCGTATGCTCGTGCCTTGGAGACGATGGCATCAAAGTTCATAGTGCCCGAGGTAACTGGGCGGATGGCACTAAGATCAACGTTGCCACTGGATGCTGGGGCTGGGAGTCCATGACCAGATGCACCAAAAGCAGGGGCAGCTGTTGGGGGAGGAGCTTGATAGTGAGGAGGAGCTTGAGTGGATGAAGATGGAGGAGGGTACGACTGTCCGGGTGGACCAGGCGGTGTTTGCGATGAAGCTCCAGGGGGCGGGCGCTGAGCGGCTGGGGCGGACGTTAGAATGGCACATTGCGTGTTCAGGGTACTTTGCGAAATCTCACCTAATGCTGCAAGTATGCTCTGGATATCGGGATGCGAGTCTGCCATGGCGAATGACCCCGTGAGACGCTGTAGAGACGTGGGAATGGGACGGCGGCGGAAGACGGTGTTGGAGGTGAGAGAGAAGGAGCGACCTCCGGAGAAGGGAGAAGGGAGGAGGGTTGCCTTCGCGAAGGTTGTTGACGGCCAAAGGAAACGCTGTGGAAAATAACCGCGCCCGTATGAGCTTCGCTTTGTGATTCAAGTACGAGGACTGGCACGGGTGGTCGAAAAGAGCCGATGGAATAGCTGCTTGCGGTGGGCTCGAGGTTGGCAATGCCTCAAACGTCGGTAAATGGAGGGGGATCTCTGGAGCGAAGCCTCATGACCTTGGTCTCCTTCAGCGCGATGCATGTTGGCTAAATTTTCACCTGTTGCTACGGCCGGAAGAACTAGTGGCCGCCAGCACAAAGACGCCCGGGACAAGCACAGACCCGTCAGAACAGCTGCCAGGTACGAAGTCCGAGTCCCGTGACGACACCGTCCAAGTGGTGCCAACGTGGCTGGATCGATCCGCCCATCTCTCTCCTCCTCTGCTTACGCGGAAATGGCAAAAAGAGTCGACACAAAAGAAGACCCCATACAACACAGGAGATTCATGGTAAATTTAGATGGCGTGTGGCTATTTGGCGTCGTCATGCACGACCCATCTCGTGTGTCAATTGAGGGGATGAAATCGGCTGGTCCGACTAACTACCTACCTAGGTAGGTACTCGAGTGCCCAGGTACATAGGTGGTTGATGAATAACGGCAGTCTGTTTTCCCGTTTCGATCCAGTTGACGGTGGTGTCAAGTTACTCGGTATGCTCGGTACCGAGAAGCTGGTAGGCAGTGTCCGGCATAAGAAAAACAGCTTATCCTTTCCCTCCATTCCGTAGTCATGATCAAACCCTTGGGGTATCAGAAGCTCTATGCCAGGCACACCAGCTATGGTATGACTCGCATGAATGAGAGGAGACCTTGGGAGCGAGACAATGTGCCCACCACCACCAGCATCACACCATCCTATCGATACCGCGTGGCGCGTTCCTTGGTCTTGGTTCGTCTTGGTGGCGTGCGGCGTGAACAGGAAGGCTATGAGACGGTATGTAGCAGACATGACGCGGCCCAGCCAATAGACGGTGTAACAAGACTCTCGCAACCCCGAGTCACGACTACACGAGGGGAAGTTCGAGGTGACCAGAGCAAACGAAAAGTGCAAAGCCCAAACCCAATCCAAAAATAGGTGTGTGAGCAAAGTTCATTCAAGAAGCCTTGTGCTGCCCGCCAGGCACAAACGCCGAGTTATCCGGGTCATGTTCGTCGTGTCTACTCGCGGACTTGTCGTTAGATTCCGTGCCGCCGACGTGGGCATATTTAACCTGGGGTTTGCGTGACTACACGACCAAACTCGACGTTGCCAGCTACATATAGCTACTTGAACACCTTCAGCACCAGCTCCTCATCTCGGCCTGAGGTCCTTGAATCCCCTGCTCGCTTTCCGTTTTCCACTGACTGACAGCCGCAAAACGACGCCATCAGACACCGAATTATACGTCAATGTGTAGTCGAGTCCTGATCGAGTATCGGTGCAAGCACCAAGTATATCGAGGAAGCACAAAATGTTTTCGGGACCAATGCCCGGGGAGGAAAGACGAGATTACCAACGACTCAGACGACTGCCCACAATGTGAAGGCCAAAAAGGCATTCGATCAGCTAGGTGGTGCCCGGTGGGCTGCTGCTGCCGGTGCACCGTCATGTGAGAGATATTGGGAACCGTCACATCTCTACGACGAACCGAAAGTCGAGGTCGTAGTATGCAAGGCTGACAGAGTAGCACCAGATTGTTGATGCTGAGTTGCCTGCGTGTCTGCCGTCTACATTGACAACTTCAACAAAGAGGGGGCGACGTTTTATGACCATGGCCACAGCCCAGCAGAGTGGATGAGCGATATTTTGGAGCTGTTTGGCTAATTTGTATTTCCATTTGTATTTCATCTTGGCATGGAGTCTTATCAAAAGGTTCGGGCGGAAATTGAGCGTGGAATTCTGGATTTCGCGATGCGCTTGGGAGAGAATAATACAGTATTTCATACCTTGACCCTAACCTGGACTCTGGCTTGCCACGGAGTGCACAAACAGAGTGCCGGTAGTAGAAACAGGGATGTATTCTGCTTTCCTGTTAGATCTGGCGGCGGCCACGGCTCGGTTGAGTGATCAAAGCTCCTTGAACCTCGGGCTGCGTTGTGCTCACCGGCACGTTTCATCTCTCCGAATATTCTAGAATGGAAGCCGGCTGGATGTACTACTAGTAGTAGATGGCTCTCTTAACCGGGTTTTCGAGTCAGCCATGGGTGGATGGACAAGCCGAAGGGGAAATCAACGTCAGAAGAAGAGAGGCAGAGTGGGGATCTGGGGTCGGACAAGGACAAGGACGCCTTGGGCAAAACACGACACGAGGCAAACGACAAGACACCTGGTTTTAGCATGGCGTTTGGTGCAAAGGCATGTCTGTCTAGTCGAGGCCCATCCGATGCGCTGAAGAGAGATGGAAGAGCGACGGTAGAGCCTGGTCGAGTCTGTGCGTAATATGTCTGGTAATGTTTTAGCCTAAAAGGTTGCTAAACTCTGCAACGACATCTGGACTTGGAGACCACATGTGCAGACACCAGACCACGCCAGGCTGCTGTAGATTTATTAGCACTGAGCATGGAACCCTGCGGGGCCCCTGGAGCTGGGGCCGAAGCTGGAGCTGGAACTAGCACTTGACTTGTTTCCAGCTGGCTGTTTTAGGCCAAGGCTAGCACTCATCTGGTTGAACCGTCTGGTCCGGTGGAAGCCGCAGCCCACATGGGCACGGCGAGGCAGGGCAACATCAATTGATGTCAACTACCTAGGTACGTAGTACTCCGTCTGGTGGTATTATGCATACTTGACGTCTAAGACTGGGCAAGAGCAGAGCGCCATTCGATGCTGCTCCTGCTCCTCGAGACCGGCACTGGGCTGATTCCCCCTCCCCCTCGCGCCGCTCCATGCAGCCAGGACCCCGGATTGCCAGGCTGCATGTGGCAGGCGGCCAGCTTCCCCGATTCCCCATACCGAGTACGACCAGAACTCGTCGGCCGTCTGTCTGATCTGCTTGCGGCTCCATCTCTCTACATTTGCAACGACATCATACCGCCCTTTTTTGTTCATGCACTTCTTGCTGGCGGTTGCTGACAGTATACGCATGCGCCATGGCCAAGAAGGCCCGCCAGAGAATCAGCTATGGTACGTGCTTGAGCCTGGAGTATCAGTTGCCGCTCGGCCATCCTTAATAAATCCCAATGGCTTTTGTTGTGTTGGGGCAAGTCACGACAATGCCATGACAGGCTTGCCCCGCACGCGAGCTTCTCCCACATCGTCCAAGACATTTGTGCTGCCCGCAGAATAAATGTCTGTCGATTCAAACGCTGACTGCGATTCCTCGTCCCGCGTACAGTTCTCGAGAATGCCAAATCGTCCGAGGGTGGCCATCGTTTGGGCGTAAATGGCCTTGCTGTCGATACGGACAATGGCATCCTGTAAGCTCTCGTGCCTGACCGCATACATGCTCAACCGTTGGCCGTTCCACTGACTCGAGGCATAAATATACTTGATGTAGCTACTCTGGTGGACGAGATGGCATCGTCTGCGCCTGGGACCTCGACCTCGACCTGAGACGACCCTCTACCGACACCCATGATTCGGCAGACAAGACTCGGTCCCGAAGCAAATTCCGCGCCCAAGCACAGCCTCACACACATTGGATAAACGACATTACCCTGGCGCAGAACAACACTGCCTTGGTCTCAGCGTCGTCAGATCTTACGGTCAAGGTATGGCGACCACACTCGGAGGAGGACTGCACGCGCACAGTCGCAATCGGAGAGCACGCTGATTACGTGAAATGTGTCGCCACGCCTCCCGCCAGCATCAATGCCAACTGGGTTGCTTCGGGTGGTTTGGATCGCAAAATTTGCCTCTGGGATCTCAACGGAGCCGGAAAGACGCTCGAGGTTGACGTCAAGGGTGAGGAGATACTCGAGAAGGGATCTGTGTACGCCCTCGCAGTGAGTCGTGACATTATGGCCAGCGGCGGACCCGAGAAGACGATTCGACTCTACGATCCTCGAACCGGCGACAAGGTCTCTAAATTGGTTGGCCACTTGGACAACATTAGATCCATTTTAATTGACGACTCTGGTGACATCATCCTGAGTGCCAGTGCCGACAAGACAATCAAGATGTGGAGTGTCAAGGGCGGTCGCTGCATGTACACTTTTACAATGCACGACGAAAGCATTTGGTCCCTGTTCTCCGAGGACCCAAGTCTCGGCATATTTTACAGCAGTGATCGGTCTGGCCTTGTAGCCAAGACGGATGTTCGAGGCAGCATGGAAGATTTGGATAACGGGCTGAGTTTGGCGGTTGCACAGGAGCACTGTGGCGTGTCCAAGGTTGTCGCCGCCGGCGGTCACGTTTGGACGGCTACAAACCGGTCTTCAGTCAATCGTTGGGGAGATATAGATACCGACACAGACGCCTGCTTACCAGAGCCATTCCGTCATCAGAGGGCTGCCTCGGCAGCGTCCAACAAGCTTCGACAAGCTACAGTAGCTGGTGCTCAGGCGACAAGCAACAAGGAAATCCCATCCGAGTCTATTCTCCGTATTTCCAACACTGCTGTGTTCCCTGCCCGCGGCGTCGTCGATGCCGAGCCCAACAACTTGAATGAGTCGTTGACTAGGCGTGGATCCGAAGTCGTGGTAGAGCAACCCGATCCGGAAGTAAAGCCAATTCATCAAACACCAGAAGAGACCATCGAAGGCCAGTTTGGGCTTTTGAAACACAAGATGCTCAATGATAGGAGAAGGGTGTTGACATTGGATACTGCCGGTGATGTCCTGCTTTGGGATCTCCTTGCTGTAAGTCTTATATCGTCAGGCTGACGGCACGATCCACCACGTTTTCTAACAGGTTGCTCTTGCAGTGCAAGCCAGTCCAGAGCTTCGGCAAACAGCATCTGGAAGATGTCGAGGCCTTGGTCAACACTCGTGAAGCTGTGGCGCCATGGTGCTCAGTGGACTTGAGCTCTGGCAATCTTACAGTTGTGTTGGAACCTTTCAACTGCTTCGATGCCGAGATATACGCCGACGAGTTGAAGTTAGACGAGCCTGTAGAGTTCAGGGAAGACCAAAGAAGTATGAAAAGCCAATACTAGCAGTTTGGGTGTCTCTTCTCGAGCTAACGTGCTCTGCAGTCAGCCTTGGAAGGTGGATCTTGAGATATCTCTTCTCGAATCTGATTGACGAAGAAATCAAGCGCGACGAAAGATACCGGCAGAAATTAAACGAAGAGGTCTCCAGGAACCAAGCCGCCGGTCGAGCCAATGCACCTACGTCGATTGATATTCCTCCGTCAAATGTCTCGAACTGGGACAAGCCCGATCAACTTGCCACGCCTCGAGCTAACGGCTCACAACTACACCAGGGCACTCCTGGCTTGGCAATTGGCCTTGCAACTCCTGCGCCTGGAGCCGCACTTCCTGGCGTACCTGAAGAGGTGGTATCTAGCCCTTTAAGCCCTACCGAAAAGGGAAATACCGCAGACAAAGACGATTACTTTGCTGGCGGTAGTGCTGTTGGGCCCGGTGCTCCAGCGACAGAGTCATCGGAAATGAAGACTTCGACGGATAATGGCAATGAGAAGGGCAAGGACAAGGCGAGTGACACAGCCAAGTTACCCGGCAGCACCTTTGGGAAGAAGTTCCGAATATCCTTCAGCAGCAAGAAACTAGGGCGATCATCTTCCCAGGCGACGCAAGATAAGCCCGTGGTGGTTGACGAAAAGGCTGAGGAGTCAGAATCATCTTCCACAAATGAAAAGGAAGTGGACGATAGCTTTTGGGGGGTTATCCAGAAGATCCGCAACGATTACGATAAGCAGCTTGCCGACGCTCCGGAGAAACTTATCGAAACTAAAGTAACGCCCAGTCTTCCTAGTGAGACCCCTGTGCTAAAGCTCCCGCCGGGAACCAAGATCATTATCCAAGAGGAGATGTCTGGTGGTAGCGCCAATGTGTATCAAGGGACGGTCGAGAATGTTGGCAAGGACGCTGACATTATTGAACAGAAAGCCCCAATGTGGCTCGGGGACGTGTTACTGCAAAATCTCGTCCCGTTCAAGGAGCCTGTCAAAATTTCATTTGTTCTTCATCCCATGGGGGGCTTGATCGCTCTGTCCCCGGCAGATGGAAATAACAGATTAAACGCCAACAGAATGTTGCGTGTCAAGAAGATCTTGGCTTACGTTGCCGAAAGGATTGAGGAAGTGCCCGAGGAACCACAACCTAATGCTCTGCCTCCTGAAAAATATTTGGAACTGTATTGTAATGATCAGGTGAGTTCTTGTATCCTACTGACAGTAAAATGGGTGTGGCTTCAACTAACTACTTCTTCTCGCAGCTCCTTGACCCGCTGATGAGCCTTGCAACGATCCGTACGCATGTGTGGAAGAGCGGTAACGACGTCGTCTTGTACTACAAGGCCAACGGACGCAAGGAGATTATACCGCCCAAGCCTGCATCATCGATAATCCCTGCAGATACGCCCGGGGCCCCGAGTCCCTTGGGTGCGCCAACAGCAGCATCTGAATCTACTACTTCTACAACGACAGCAGTGACATAAAGAAACGGCCGTCGAGATGGAGATATTTTTGGTTGTCGGGTGAGAAAGACTTGGCGATAACGTTCAAACGACCGGCACACCCCCTTGATTGTTTTGCCCTCCTTCTAAAGTTTAATTAATCATGCACTTGGAGCACAAGACACATCATTTTTAGCCACATTTCCAGGTTTATGTGTAAGCGGCAATGGCAATACCCTCAGCGCTATACCGTGTTTTTGTCCGCTCTCTTCATAATATATGTCGGGCTTTTATCATACAAAGCGTGGCCCAGCTGCAGGGCTATAGAGCGAGTAGTGCAGCTTAGACTAGCCAGCAACAAAGAATAAAGAAGTCTATACATCTAAATGCTCTCTCCATCTTTTCCACTTGCCGCATATCGTACAGCGTAAACCCCCTGCATGTTGTGTAGAAACAGTCTCTCCTGTCCCTGTTGACTGTTGAACAAGCAAGCCAACCAGGCGGAGGAAGAGAGTATGTGTTTGTAGATTGTCGTGTCATGAAATGGTCCTCATGGTATTGATAGCCCACTGGTAGCTCCCCAGGAAAATGGCACCGCCAATAGAAATCCAAGTCACTCTGGGCGCAATGCCGGCAAAGAACGGTCGAAGACCCTCTTGCTTGACCATGGTCCCAAACACCTCTGCCACGGAGACCCGGTCCTTGGACAACATGACCCTCGTCTTCAACACGTCCAGGGGGGTCGTAGCCGCGGCCGAAATACCGCCGGCGACGCTGCCGAAGACGGCGCTCTCGGCAGCGGCCACGTCCTCGCCGGCCGTCCTCCCCTTCCTCCGCCACGACTTCATGGCCTCCCACAGCGGAAACTGTATAACGGTAAACGGCACCTCCCGGAAGACGGTGATGCCCCAGCCCCGGTACAGCTCCCTCCACACGGCGCCGAGCCCGCGCGCCGAGCGCTGCGACAGGATGGCGGCCAGCGCGGCCCTCGACGAGCCGCCGTGCAGCCCTGCCTGCGCCCGCTGCTTGACCACCTCTGTCGGCACGCGGACCGCGCACGCGGCCACCTCGCCCAGGCTCGCGGCCACCATGTGCGCGACGGCGTCGGGCACCGCCGCGCGCGCCCTGAGGAACCCCTTGGCCGTCTCGTACGTGCAGAAGAAGAAGGCCGCGCCGGGCGCGGACCCGACCACCGCCGAGCCTATCCCGCGGTATATTCCGGAGAAGCCGCCAGAGGGGAAGAAGCCGGCCGACGACTGGAGCCGGGTTTTCAGCGTGTCGAGCGGGAAGAGCGAGAGGTCGACTGTCGTCCCGGCGAGGGCGCCTGCCAACAGGGCGGACTGGAAGGGTGGCGGATTGGACATGATTTATTTGTTTTCTCTTGGGGTGTTGGAATCGTAGGGTCAAGTTGGTGGGGTAGTAGGGAGGATTGGAGAACAGGCCGAAGCCTGAGTTCTCTCTTTTTTTGTCCTTGTTTTTTTGTTTTCTAAAAAAAAAGGGCGAGGTGGTTCGTCGAGGATGCCTTTTGAGCACGAGGCCAATTGAAGCTTCTCAGCAGCCGAAAATGACGGCCCTTATCGATAGCGGATTGCGCCTGGCTCCGAGGTTCGGAGCCGAGACGCAGATACCCTGGACCGCGGGTAACCGTCTAGATGCACATACTCGACACTTTGCAACGAAGAGTACTGGGTGGTTTATTTATTTTCCGGTCAGTTTATTATTTTATTCAGATGACAGATGGGGGTGATGAATCGAGATACAAGCTCCAACTTTCAATTTTTGCTGGCGTATAGACCTGCAGATTGGGACACCAAATACGACAAGTATATACATACACACAGCCCAAGAAACCTCCATCAACCTCACACCAAGGTGCCCGAACCGCGACAAGCCCACCTACATGCCATCGCGCACGCTGGTCCCCGACCTGGACGACTCCTCGGCAGACCTCTTCGTGCGCTCCTGCAGCCTGGAAATGTCCTCGCGCCCCGACGACGCCCGGTCCGCCTTGACGGCCTCCTCGCTGTCAGACGCGAGCTCGGGCTTCCAGTGGCCAGCGCCCTTCTTCTGCTTGGCCAGCGAGTCTCGCTTGTGCCTGTCGTAGTCGGCGTCTGTCTCTACACGGGGCGCGCACGCGGTTAGCAAGGAGATTTCTTCACATGATGTACGCACACGTCGGCGGAGCAAGCACATACGGCTGGACGACTCCTTCAAACCAAGTCGAGTGCTCGTCGAGATGCGGAACCCCCGTCCGACGACACACGTAGTCCTGCTGGCGGCCCTCATGGCACCGAGGCCAGCGGCGCTTCGTGCTGACATCATAGTGAAGGGATATCGAATGGCCCGGGTCAATGGAAGTAGCTGGCGTGAGTTGTTGTCGCCTGGTTCAAAATGGGCTGGTACAGACAACAAACGGGGGGAAAGAAAAAAGTGTCCTGAGCAAGACCAAGAGCGTGTTAAAGGGATGAGAAACAATCTGCGCCTATTGGAGAATGCTCAACTGCTAAATACCGAGCTTTCCCTACATCATCGTCGATGGGTTGGCTCGATCGAACTTCATGTGGAGAGGCACTGACAGACTCTTGACGTCATCATTGCGATGCATCTCGGGACCGACGCCAATCCATGGCTGCCCCGTCTCCTTCCAGCCATCATTATCGAAATGGACGGCTAAGCTTGCATGTCTTAACTGCCCATAATATCGAGTGGCCCAACATTAACCTCGCCAACAGCACCTCGCAGGCCATGGGCATCAACTTGTTGGACCAACCCTATACTGGCTGGGGAATTGGCATTAGAGTTCCGATTGCATCTTGCCACGCTGTCAAGTCCAGCATCCAACATCCACATCACACAGCAGCACACAAGACACACCCATGGCTTTCTTGAACGTATCGTATATTCTCATCGCAGCAGGCCATGCAGGCCGCGGTATCGCAACCTCAATAATAGTAGTGTAAAGCCATAAAACCACCGTATCCAGGAAAACATGCTCGCAACAACCAGCCCAAGTATCAGATCCCAGCATATTTGCAACACCAGGGCACGACGGCCCAAGAAATCCCAAAGAACCCGACCCGCAAAACCAGGTAATGTCGTAGCTGAGCCACCCCTAAAAACAACACCCATATGCTTTGCAAAATAACAACCATGGCCCATCCCAGTGAACACAAGAACTAGCTCCGATATGCCAAAATGGAGCCGCTTTCTCTTTCAAAAAACACGCCCGTCTTGTAAACCCAACGTGTCGTACAATAAACAGAAAAACAGGCAAGCCTCTTCGTCATTCAGTTGCACATTCGGCATCTTTCCAACAAACCCTGCACGGCTATCAAGTGAATCAAGAAAAAAAAGGAACCAACTCCCCGTAAGTAAATCCAGAAGAGCCCTGACCCCATATGAACAATGGCAATGCGCGCAAAAGACACACTAGACCGCTAAATCTTTGCCAACCACTACTCGCCGAAACCCATACCCATATTTGATTTTCAACCGAGAACACAAGTCGTTTGCCCCAACGCTTTCATTGTACAGAAAGCCCCTTTCTATATCTTCTTTTGAGAAGTTTTCCCTTGTTGATGAATTCATAACCCATAACTGTAAAAGTAGGGCAATAAAACATTTGAGGTAGAATAGAACAGTTCGTCATCGCACACGCTCCAATAATAAAAGGATGAAAATATGCCGGAAAAAGTCGTGAGGTTTTTTTATAAAAAAAAAGTTGCCAACTCCACTGTCGGTCTCCATGCAGCAGAATTCCAAATAATATAATGAGAATGCAAACGCCCAACTGGTGAGGATTGGCCTCATCTTGCGAGACGAACACCTGCTAAGTGTGTGTATTGAAACGGAAGACAAAAGGGCGAAAAAAATGGTATCGCTTTGAAAAACCGAGCCGAATTCGAGTCCCTCGCGGATATATGTCGATGAAAAGGTGGTGGTTTATGTCGATTAATTAAGCTCTTGTACATGTTGTATAGAGGTGTGAAGCTGCGAGAGACCCAGCAGTCGAGCCAGGCCACAGTGAATACATCTATCCCCGAGGAACTACCCCGCCAGGAAGAAAACGGTACCGTCCATCTTCGACAATTTGTTTTCGTAGAGGTGGCCGCCAAGATGAACAGTCTCCTGAAAGAAAACATGAATTGAAGCGTCAACTTAAAATACAGTGCATGGAGAACGGCAGTAGGGTCGTGGGTCCGGCAACGCATCCATCAAGGACACGTGACGCGAACCCCAACATCATTCTACCACCGTCGGCCAAGGGACTGCTGCATCGCGGCGGGCGATACTGACGGGGACGGGCTAGACATGGTGATACCAGTAGCTGGGTTGATGATGGGGATGGCGTTGCGGCCGCGGGTGGCCGAGGGCTGGTGTATTTTAAGGTTCGAATGCTGAGTCTGAAAGCTAGGAGGAATGAAGGCAGCCGATGTCGAGTTCAGAGAAAAGCCAGGCGCAACGGTTTGCGGCTGTTGCGTTGGTGAAGATTCGGGAGAATTGCTGGCCAGCGACGATCGCTCAGAAGCACTCGAAATGGAGACCAGCTGTCAAGGGATGGAAGAGTCAGACTCTGCAAGCATGCCAAAAACCTGGAAGGGGAAAGCCGCTTGCACTGGAGGAATATGACGGCCACGCCATTACTTCTGTCTCTACTTACATCAGTCTCGGTCAGGAGGTTGGGGCAAAACTCGAGATCATCCTCGAGCTCGAAGGAGCGGCCAGCTTCGAACTTCATACGAAAGGCAGAGAGGGCAGCAGACTCGTTCAGATCCTTCATGCTGCGAGCGCCTCGGAACTGCCTCTGAGCGTTCTGTGAAACGGACAAGCGAGGGGCTCTGCGATTGCGGTGGCCGCCGTGGTTGTGCGACATGGGCGCGCCGTGAACCGCCTGCGTATTGTAGTGGTAGTATGAAGCCATGATAGATATCTTTGTCTGTTTTCCCTGTATGACAAATGGCGAATCGTCGGCGTCTATGAAAGTATATGTCTCCAGCCGCAAATGTATTGTGTTGTGATTGGGGGTGCTGCAGCTCTGGTAGTATGCACGTTGGTTTGTTGTGGGTGTGAGAAGCTGACAACAATTGTCGGGGGATTAATATCGAGTAGCTACAGATGGACCGCACGAGGCTATCAAATCGTACGAGGAGAGTCTTGAAGAGGTCTAGGAAAGACAGCGACGTGAAGAATGTATAGGACAAAGAAGAAAGGGGGGAGTTAGGATAGAGGTAGAGAGAGGGAGTTGAGATGAAAGGTTCGAGATCGTGTGTGCGTGCGTGCGTTGTATGTAGGTGTGTGTGGGTGAGGAGGAAGAGAGAGGAATGGGAAGCGGGCAGATGGTAAGGCGAGGAACACACAGGTCAGGATAAGATTGCACCTGGACGCAGGCAACTGGGAGCGGTCGAAGGCGGGTGGGTGGTGGGCAGGTGCGGACGCAGACGCTGGTGGAAGTTGCAGGTCGGAACCGGGCCCAGCGAGCAGGAGCGCCTCGAACAACGGGATTTTGTTGGTTGGGGACCAGAAAAGGTGGGGATATGAGGGTCCCAGTGAGCCTGTGTTGATGAGGGCGGCGAATAGGAGCACGAGGGGGCTGGTGGGTACCAGTCCCACAGGACTTTGCCACTACAGCAGGCATTCCGTAGTGATTGGGCAGGCTGGCAGGCCCGCTAGACTTGATATGGCATGGAGCAAGCGCCAGTGCTCGCCAGTGCTCGCCAGTGCTGTCGTTTACGGGCGGGGGCCGTCCGTTAGACCCGCTAAACATACAGTGTCTGACAAGCTTGTCGCACGCGGGGCCCACAGAACCCTTGCCCGCGCCGGTTTTTGTGTGGCCGAGTCTGGTTGAGGCAGAGGCTCAGAGGCTCCTCCGGCGATCCATTGACGCCTGGGCTCCCACTTCCCACGCTCCGACGCTCCATCGTGCTGCACCGGGCTGTCTAGGCTGCATGCCTTCAGGGTTCTTCAAGCCGCTGGGCACTTGACTGGTCTTGGTAGCTTCAGGGACTCGCGATGCAATGCAGAGCCGATCAATTGATCCCGAAGCGGCCTGCTCCCACACACCTTGTCCTCACCCTCCCTCCTGAACCCGCTTGCCTCCCTGCCTCTCGTCCGACCGCGCCGTAGCCGCCTTTGTCGCGGGTTTCCTCTGGCTGTTGGAACGGCAGACTGGTACTTCAGCCGCGGCAGATACTTGCGCCAGGGTGGCGGCAGACAGCTCAAGGCGGGTAGCGGCGCATCATTCGTGACAAGACGGAGCTGAAGGTGCACCCCGATGTAGCTTTGCACTGCCCGGCGCCTGCGATGATGCCGTCAAGTCACCCTCCGTCCCTCACTGCAATTGCATCGCCGCCGCCGGTTGGCCCCTAGTCCAAGATGGCGAGATGACGGGCTACTCGACCTCGACCGTTTTGAGTTGGCTAACCTTCTAGTGTATCAAGGGACACTCGGAACCACCACGAGGCCTCCTCTCCGCCTTTCCACCGTGCCGCCACAGTGCCATCAGTTACGCAGCTCAATGCTCTCTATTCTTGTGACCCAACATTCAAGTTGACAGCCATATTTGACTTTGAATCCCCATTCCAGTCTGTTTCTGAGCGATAATAAGCATCGCTTGCCCTCTGCCCGTCGTGGCCCATGGCTATCCATGTGCTGCGTGCCTGCGTCAGTCAAGGGACCCGCCGTACGGCTCAACAGTGAGGTCTTGCAGCGCGCTCTCCCCATTAATGAGCTGCTCGAGCCCCACAATGTACCACGACTGGCATTGGCAATAGCCCTCCGCATGGGGTGTTGGGGCACTACGAGACTGGCTAACATGTTTCGTGCGTTGGGTCAATGTCTGGTGCTGCGAGTGTAACAATAACAAAAGGGAATCCGATTTCCCCGAGGCACGCGAGCATGACGTCCGGCACGGAGTATGTACATGGTCAGACTTGTCAGTCATTCCGTCTTATTTTATTCATAATATTTTGAGGGCATCATATTAGATTCCAGCAGCTGTTGGATAGCCATGCTGAGCGAGCAGAAGGGTCAATGCGGCTCACTTTCAATGCCCCCAGCCAGGTCACGCAGCCGACGCGGCACCATCATGCCAGGCACCAAACTCGCACAAACAGACACACTGCACCAGCGGGCCGCTCCAATGCAGCTTATTAGCCTCTGGGGGAATCACCAGAGGCGCTATCAAGATCGCCTGCGCAGCCTACTTAGTACTTAAGTACTTACTTACTTAACTAGTGTGTAGTACCTGCTTAGTACTAAGTAGTAGGCGCCTAGTACTCCGTAGTACTCAAGTCCACATGTACCGACATTCTAAGCCCTAGCGTCTGGTGGCAATCAATATCAAAGTGGCCAGCCAAGCACGCAGTTGTCAGGCAACATTGAACCCGGGCACTCAAGCAGGCACGGGCAGTGCGAAGGCGACTTGACATTGAAGACAGGGGCCCAATGTTCGCCGCCAGGCCCCCCTTACCCGCTTTTTCCTCTCGATTTTGGCGCTGAAGCGGTCTGTTGACCTGCTGAAATTGCTTCAGCTCCACCGCGTCGTCACCGCAAACCCCCCGAGAGCAGCACGTTTTTCAGGACGTGATCGAACATTGAATGCTTTCGTCTCTCCAGGTCGTCTCTCGTCTCCCTGATTCTTCTGCCTGGTGGACTCTATGGGGAGAAATTGATACATACGTCCGTACAGACTCCGTATTCCTCCCTAGCTCAGGCGCTGCGTTTCGGCATCCCACTCCCGTACATGCTAACTTGCCATGATTACTCCGTATTTCGCTACTCCGTACGCAATCAGCTACTCAAGTTGGTCACGCTGACGGACCATGAATGAAACCGTCTCCTCTCAGCGCCACCAGGTGAAACGGTTCAAGCATTTGTGTGGGGTCGCTCTGCATTGTGCCGTCAGGAGCTCAATCCATCGAAAATGGACCAAGGTGAATACTCCGCTATATGTACCTTGGGTAAGACTCTGGGATTAGTTATCGAAATACTACCTGTTTACTCCGTACACGCAGTACTCCGTACATAGCTAACTATTACATGCTCAATGGCACAGCATGCCTGTGTACCTAAAGTACTAGGTACATAGTTACCACGCCACACACTCGACTTCGTGACGTCTCCAAGGCACAGCCGCCGTAGTGTGTCGCGACCGGCACCGAGGCAGTTTCGCTGCGACCCGAGTGCTCAAACAGCTGTTCGTCGAAGGAAAGCAGACCAGAAGTCACCAGATTCTCACTTGGCGGGGCGCTCTGGTGCTCATGCACCATCCTCCGCAACGTGGGCGGCTCGAGAAACAAGCAGAGAAGCCGGCTCACTGGCCACCAGACCAGACATCACCACCGTCATCGTCGTCACTCATCACCGCACTGTGGCGTTTGGAGCCTCCACAAGTCTGTCGATGTCTCGGGGTGGCCTGAATGCCTGTATGTACGGAGTACCCTTGCCAGCCTTGGCCAGGCAGCGACCATCAGTCAGCCAGACGTCTCAGGGCTCGTCCAAAGAGTCGTGCATACTAATAATCATGTTGTAACCATCCCCATCGCAGCCTTGGTGGCCAGATCTACCGTCACTTTTGCGTGCCTGGGCGTTAGCTGCGCCAGTTGGAATAATACCGGTTTGGCTCTTGTGCATATCTTGCCAATGGAACCCAATAAGCTTTTGTTTGGAGGCTTGGCTTGGTTTCCTATTAGTACCATCCTGTCCGAGCCTGGTTGATGCAGCAAAAGAACCAAACTAGCCGTGGCCGTGCAACTATCATTTACCGGCTACACAATGTTGCTGCAAGCTAGTATCAATGTCTTGTAGACATGCGCCGTCACACAGCCCCGAGCACACGGGGCAAAGTGCGATCAGAGTACTAATCCAATGGCTCTACGGAAGAGTGTCCTGCGAGACACTGTCGGCGCGGCCAAGTGGCGATACGTGCAATCATCCCGTGAGAACTGGCGGAATTATCCCTTCTTGCCTTCCAAACTGAAGCAGGTGTTGCGTACGTAGGTTAACCCTCTTCCAAACCTTATTAGACGGCATTACTACTATTGTACATATGTACATATGGATCTCCGTCTTCCATGCACACAGGGCATTGCTGCAATGGACAAAACTGGTGGTTTTACCAGGACCAGGTCGACCATGAAGTTGAGTTGGCGTCTACCAATAACTAACGTGTAGTAACTGGTGCTACTGCATTAAAGCGCCTTTAAAGAAGACTTGGTATGAGCATGCGGATAAGCATTCAGGTAATCTGCCATCCATCCGAGAGCTTTTGATTCACAACTATGGGGCTCGGGGACAGATAGGCATAGTCTCGTGATAGAAACGAAGTCGATGCAGCCATGTCGCACCTGTTTCCAGAAAGGGTGGTCCAAGGAGACAAGACTACCGCTCCCAGGACGACCCTGAGAACACTATCCAGTGCTCGATCCTAGGCCGATAGCCGTCCAACAACTCATGGACATGGCTATCTAGCAACATTCATGTACTCCGTACTGGTGGGTAAATATATTACCCAAGAGACCACGGAATAACGTAGGAGAGTCTGCCGTGGTCGAGTACCGCTGTCCGGTCTTTTTGTTTGTTCTGCCTCCGGCCCCCTTTCCCGTATATCGACTTGGCTTCTCACCAAGATGGCAAAGATGCGGACAGAAGCAGCGAATTGACATCATGGCAAACTTTCCAAAGAACCGCTTCCATGGTGGCCCGAGCCCCATTGCGGACTCTGTACCAACCCCAACGAAGCAATGACAACGTTCTGATATGGGGTGGAGACATGGAAGCATCAACGGTGACCACCGTCGGGTTATTCTCTGGACCCTATCAATCGCCTCGTGGCTTATCGCTCATCGTCGATACTACTCCGTACCGAGCAATGATATCCTCCCCCCTCCCCGCTAAGCTACTATTGCCTCTAGGATCCAAGGGGGGACGCAACGTGGGATAAAAATGAGGATTTGAAAAACTTCAACTCGTTCACCGATATGGCATCACTACTTAAGCTATTCAACACTGTCTGGGGACGTTTGAAATCATATTCCGGAGCAAAGTTCAAGCAAGAAGGATTTTCCCATTAGAAGGTAGACCAGCCATGCACAATGTCCAAATCCACTCGGGGCCAGCTTTAAGTTGTAGTACTCCATACACCGCTCTTTGTTTAGGCTCGAGGCTCATTCGGCAAGGGTGTTGCTTGCACATACCGGGTACATTGTACACAGCGCACGACTCCGTGCTGACAGTTGTACATAAAGTTTGTTGGTTCGTCGACCAGGCGTGCCTCACAGTGCCAGTCCCTTCTTCTTCGACAAAGACCCTGGACAGGCCGCTGCAAATAAGTGAAGGACCTTTTTGGCCACGGAGCTGGCATGAACCAATCCGCATGGTCCCGGCGCTCACGCCGCTCCATCCCACGTCGATTGCAAGCTGGAGGAGAGGTTGGTGAGGGTGGTGTCGTGCAACCCAAGCCTTCTTCGAGAGCCGAACCCGGTCAGGTTCACCAGCCTCACGATGCAAAATCGGTCAGGCCAGCCACATGCAATGCTCCGAGGCTGACGGTAAGGTTGAACCTGGAAGACGATGCGGAGTACGGAGTATGGACTACACCACCGGTTTGTTGCGAGACCAATCTAGCCATCAAGAGACTCTCCGGGAGAGTGTTGAGCATGTCGGTAGCCGCATGTTTCGCCGGTCCAAAAAGAGCGCATCGAATCGCTTTGTGGGCAAGTGATGATTGATACGGAGTAGATGTGCCATGTTTTAGACGTCAAGGCCGTGGCTGCGTCCGCCATTTACATCCTCCGCATCCATCTCTGCTCAGCAATATTTCACATACGAGGCAACAAGTTCGAAATCTAGAAGCACGCCATCCGTCCCGGGTAGGCGGAACCTCCCAGATCCCGAGGAACCACCAAGCAAGAGCCGGTGGTGGGGTCTGAGCTTCAACAACCTCGGCGACAACTTCACTCGACTCGAGATACGTAACATGCCCGCTATGCAGAGTAAATTGGACATTGTTTCCCCTCGTACCCCCGAGAAGAAACCCAGAAAAGAGAAAACCCAGCACCGTGTCTGAGGCGGAATTTCGGCCATGCCCCAGTTCAACTATGAGTACCGCGCATCCCGCACAATCGAGTACGCCGTCCTCACAGCCGCTGCGTGTCTCTCGATATATTGGTACCTACAGCCCGTCCTGAGCCCCGGCGACCCCGTGAAGCCGACGAGAGTGATTTGTTCCAAGGCCAGGCAAGCGGCGAAGCTGGCATCGGCAGATTCGACTCGGGCTTCCTCGCTGGCGCCTAGGAAGTTGGCACCGTCGTATGCGCCGGGCGTGTTTCCCGGCGGGAGGGATGTGGAAACTGCGTACGGGACGATAAAGGTGTTTGAGTGGGGTCCCGAGGACGGCGAAAAGGTGCTGTTGCTGCATGGCATCGGGACGCCGTGTGTTGCCTTGGGAGATATGGCGCGGGAGTTTGTCAGGAAGGGGTGTAGAGTGATGCTTTTCGGTGAGCTTGCCATTTTCCATCGCGACACACTGCTCTTCTCTTTTTCTTTTCTTTTTCCAAAACTGCTTGCTATAAGCCCCTATAGAAATCAAGTCTGCAAGATACAAACTCAAAAAAAGAGTCACCTGTCCGCTTATACATGTCAGAATCTCGCGCGCGCTGATCTAACCATGCCACAGACTTATTCGGCAGAGGATACTCCGACGCCCCAAGCGATCTCCCCTACGATGACCGCCTGTACACCAGCCAGATCCTCCTCGTCCTCGCCTCGTCCCGCATCCCCTGGACCGGCTCATCCTCCTTCCACATCGTGGGCTACTCCCTGGGCGGCGCCCTCGCCGCCGCCTTCGCCGCCTACCACGCCAATCTCCTCCGCTCCGCAACCTTGATCTGCCCCGGCGGTCTCGTCCGCCCATCCCACGTCAGTCTCAAGTCGCGCATCCTGTACTCCGAGGGCCTCCTCCCCTCCTGGCTCGTCAACGGCCTCGCCAGACGCCGTCTGGAACCCCGGCCGGGCACGGCCAGCGCCGACATCCCGGACCCTAGCGTCAACACCGTAGACGGCGACGACTCGCAAGACGTCGACTTTGACCAAGTCCCCGTGTGCGCGGGGGATGCGTCCGGCCCCAAGGTCGGGGACGTGGTCAGATGGCAGCTGCGGAATAACGCCGGCTTTGTACCCGCGTACATGAGCACCATTAGAAACGCCCCCATCTACGGACAGCACGAGGGAGTGTGGAGGCGGCTCAGTGAACAGCTTGCTTTGAGGAGGGAGGACGAACAGGTGCCGGGTTTGGAGGGAGGTAGGATATGCTTGATTCTGGCGGAGAGAGATCCGATCGTGGTCAAGGAGGAGTGGATTGCCGATTCATTTGCCGTGCTGGGCGAGGAGGCTGTTGATATTAGAGTTCTCAAGGGCGGTCATGAGATTGCCATTTCGAAAGGAAAGGAGGTTGCTGATGTTGCCATGGCGGCTTGGAGGCGATGATAGACACAAAGACATAGACTGGCCTGATGAGCACTAGAGCAGAGAAGACAAAATCGCGAAAAAAAGGGGTGACGAGGGGCGGACCATTAGAATAATAGATTATATTGTACCGTCTTGCCATCTGCAACATGCATCGCTGTGACAGGATATCGAAGCCTTACAACTCCAAAGCGCGAATCAAAAAAAAAAGCCCCGCCCCGTGTAATGTCGCTAGTCATAACGCCGTAACACCGTCTGTTCCCCTCTTAGCATGTAATACCTGACATGATTCTTATAATCCGCCCGTCTTTTTGCTTTGCATCCCAAAAACGCCGGGCCGAAACAAATACTCCACAAGTAAAAAAAAAAAAAAACCAAAAGCTAACAAAGACGCTTATTAGAGTCTCTATTTATCTAAACCTCGGGCCTTAACAAAACGATTAATTTGTTCCCGGGTCAATTTTTCATTGTACTGCTCGTAGAATTCGTATAATGAAATCATCTCCTGAGTAGCGTCAACCATGGCCGCGATATCAACACTACTTTCCGCCAGCCAGGCGGCAAAATATTGCACCCTGGATATCCGGGCTTCCTGCTGCTTCTCCTTGGACTCGGAGGCCGAAGGAGGATCAGGCAAGCCGTGGATATTGCTGCCACCGTTGCCCCTTGCGGCCTGGGCCAGGGCTGCCTGGGCGGCGGCAAGACCGGCGGCGGCGGCAGAGCCCGATCCTGCCTGGCCGGGGGCGGTGGAATTGGGCCGAAGGACGAGGGCGAGCAAGATGGCAACGAGGGCGATGACGTGCGGTGCGCAGAGGAGGGGCAGGTCGCTATTAAAGGAGTCGTTGATGACGGAGCGTGCGAGTTGCACGTCCTCATCTACCAGTGACAACTCTGTCCGCAGCGACGTCAGTGTCCTGTATGGCTGGTGCACGATGAGCTGCGAGCTCATTTCGCTGATAAGGTAGAACTCGCACTCTCCGATCTTGGATGTATCTAGGCCGATGAAATCTTGCCAGAGCTGCCTGGCCTCGGTCACGATGAGCCGAATGTGCTGCGGCGCCTCTTCCATCTTGCAGGCCAGATAGAGGGAAGTTGTGATGACGAGGTATGGGTTCGTAGATCGGACGGGGACCTTGATGTAGAATCGCTTCAGGTAGACTTGCGCAGTCGCCATGGCCTGTTGGCGGATGCTGAGCCGTTTTGCCAGGCGGAGTAGTTCTGAATGAGAGGTTAGCGGAATGCCTGGCGCACGGGGGGGCCGCAGTGAGGAATAAATAGGTAAATAAATATAATAAACAAGGAGGAAGAAGGAGGAAAGAAAAACAGACTAACGCTGATTGAAATATATGGCAAGATGGCGTGGCTGCGGCAAGGGAAACATGCGCACGAGGTCGGCATTGTCATCGTCGAGCTTCTGACGCATGGTAGAGAGCTGATCCTTGGTAAATAGCCAATGCCGCCTCTGCGTCGACTCCCAGTAGTTGGCGGACATTTTTGCAAAGGACGAGAGCCGCCGAGGCAGCTCGCAGACTCTCTGGGAGCAGAGCAACGAGAGGAGATGAAGTCGAGCGGGAGGCGCCGGCACCGGCCTTGCAATCGACACAAGAACCAGGACAGACCGGGCGGTGAACCACCAGAATGACGACGGTCCCAGCCCTGCTTAGTAATGCAGGAGAGGTCGCTTCTTTCAGGCCCATAAATAGCCATGTCTCTATTTCTGGATCGTCGCAGCCCTGTGTAAAGTAGCCAAGTAATTTTCACCCAACATCTGAAGTACGGGGTAGTCTTTCTATTTTCAATTGGCAAAGCAATTTTGCCGCTGTGAGAGAGTGCCACTTGGCAAACAGCAGACGTGTAGCCGATATTAAAGCAAGAACTCAGCTCTCATACTTTATAGGTTTTCTTGAGATATTTCTAACCCGGTGAATCGTACTTTCATCATTGTTCTTGTTGCTTATCTGAATATGAGTGAGTAGTAAGTACCTTACCCGGCTGCTGGCAAGCTTCGGGCAATGCTTGTAGTAGAAATCTGGAAAACTGGACCGGACTACTTGGTTGGAAACTCACATTTTATACGTGAACAGGATAATTTAATTCCCCGCATAAGACAATAGCCCACAAATCTAGCTCAACTTGTTGAAACGAAAAGTTATCTACACCAATGACGTCATTTCCACTATTCGCACTTGTAGACGACAATTGTCTTTTAGTCTTACTCAAGCCCTAATCAAGACAAGCTCTTTATATCGCGCCACCCTTTATTACAGCAAGCTCCAAAGTCAACCATTTCTCGCGTCTATAAATTTAGAAGAACATCCAGCGCCAATACATCAGGTTTACCAAGTTTAATTTTTTTCATCCTGTCCTGATTATCATGCACGCGCATCAGGTAAGGCCAATAAAGTTTAACTATATAGTTAGTTGTAGCTAGACCAGGGAACTATGATACTCCGCGTTATGATACCGAGTATAGAAGAGGCGCGTACACGTGCGAGGAAGGCAATCTCGCGATAGCCTCAGCCACTGCAAAAGATGACCCGACATAACCAGTGGCGGATAAAGTGGGACTCGATAGTTGCGGTTAAACATCGGGCGAGTTCAAATTTCACAACACTAACATTGAAAAGACCAGCATGCTCCAGCAGGCCAACTGAGCGTCTGAGCGCCTGAGCGCCTGAGCAGCGTCCCCTCACTGCCCTCAGCGGCCCCCTTCCCAGCCACTCCTCTCTTTGCCCAGCACCATGTTGAGCTGCACTGGTTGAACTCTTTCGCCGTGCTGCTAATTCGCCTGCTGTGATTTGCCGCGACTCCCTATTATAGCGGAGCCTGGATGTCTGAGACCTGTGCTTGTTCACTCTCGGATTGATAGGCGATAGAGGAAAGCACTGGCTAGGAGAGGCTACCTCTCGTTCAATGTTCCCGTCAAATGGATTTCTGGCCCAGATAATAGCCATTCAAAGTTGACCAAGAACTCGCTCTCGAGCTCGGATTCTCCGCCGCCGCCTGGCTCCCCAAGTGCTCCAGTCCGACGTCACTGTGCTGCATTATTCTTTGTATTCACCTTGCGGCCTCTTTGCTCTCCCTCCTCCCATTGCACCAACCACCGCTTGTGTCCTACGATGCTGTTACAAGAATAAATCGCCAATTCCACCACGCGAGAGCGACCGTTGCATCCAATCCCCCGTCGCTGCCCCTAGCTGCACGACGCCGCTCGCATCCTCGATGCCGTCGTCATGAGCGCCACCAAATTGGTCTCGGACGCCGAGCGACGGTTTGGAGAGTCGCCCAACGAACGCGATGCCAGAGTTGAGCGTCTCTGGTCCAGATTGGACCCTACCGGCAAGGGAGAATTGGACTTGAAGGGCCTGCAGAAGGGTTTTAGGCGCATTGATCACCGTGAGCCTGCATCCAACCATATTGTCGCTTTCGGCATGCGCGGGAGCTTTGTTCGCTGACCCTGGACGCATGTGCGCGCACCAAACAGCTCTGAAGAATGCCAACGAGTTGTTGAAACAGATTATGAAGGAGGTCGATACGAACCACGATGGCAAAATTCAATACGAAGGTATGCTTTGCCGCCTCGAGATGCCGTTTCAATTTTTTTTCTCTCCCTTCTTCTTTCTTCTCCCCTCCTTGTCCAGCAGCTACCATGTCCCCACTGCAAACCCAGAACCGCGCCGCGAGCTTCAAGCTCTGGCAGTGAGCACGATAAGCTAATGTTTACACTCGTCAACTTGTAGAGTTTCGCAAATTCGTCGAGAAAACCGAGCGACAGTTGTTCTTACTCTTTCAAGCCATCGATAAGGATGGCAACGGCAAACTCGACTCCGCCGAGCTCCAAACCGCCTTTCGCACAGCCGGCCTGAGCGTTTCAAACCGTCGAGTTGCCGACTTCTTCCACGACTTGGATAGGAACAATGATGGATTTGTCAGTTTTGAAGAATGGCGGTAAGTCATCTCTTGAGCTTGACTGCCTACTGCGGGCTTATGCGACCCTTCCTGTGGTGATTTGTACCCTGGAGAGCAAGGTCACTCGCCATCTGCCATGACATTCAAGTCATGTGCCCAAGTGAGCCCTTGGTGATGAGGTCGTGGGGCAGCGTCACTCACCGCACCATCAGTTTCACTTGTCCATTCTCGCAGTCTGTCTTCATTCCATTGGCACAAGACGGAACCCAGTGACCTTCAAGCAAAACCAACAAAATGGCGTGCAGCACTGATGCTTCCACAGAAACTTTCTCCTGTTCATGCCAGCCTGTGAACACGACTCCCGACTCCAAGCCGTCCTATCCTACTATGACTCCGTCGTCAATGTCACACCGGAGGGAGATTCTCTTGTCAGCGACGAAACTTTGGAAGGTCTAGGTACGGATGAGTTATCCTCTAGCTCCCTTTTCTATTCTCTTTTCGGCTCTCTCGTTAGGGTCGCGTCTCCTTTACCTCCTGCGACAATACCACCTGGGTCTCCTGCAGCTCCCGCACAAGACAACGACCCGACAAGTATAGATGCAGACTTGAAAACAGACGCTGTGGAGGTCCTATCACAACCTGGAGCGAACGCCGTGGCGAGTGCAGATGAAGACGGCGACAGTATCCCACATCAGACTACACAGCGGCGACGGTTAGTCGCAACAAAACCCACACGATTGGAGCCTTCAAAGCCCACACAGTCTATACAGCGCGTTGGCGATGGCACCTCGGAACAGCTCATGGAAGAACCACCACAATCTTCGGCAGGAGTTGAGAGCAGGCCCCAAAAGAAGTTCAAACTGACACATTTTGCTCCTGATCCAGGTTACTTCCTAGCGGGTGCCATCGCCGGCGGAGTCTCTCGTACGGCCACCGCGCCGCTTGACCGATTAAAGGTCTATCTGTTGGTCAACACCAGCACTAGCTCCGAGACTGCGGTAGCCGCTATTAAGCAAGGTCGCCCTATTGCGGCGGTAAAGAACGCGCTTAGACCTATCAGCAATGCCGTTAAAGATCTGTTTCGCAACGGCGGCATCCGAAGTTTCTTTGCCGGTGAGTTGCGGTTGGGCGGGCTGATTGTTACATGGCGGTAAATGCTGACATGCGCCGCTTTGCAGGTAACGGTCTGAACGTGCTCAAAATCATGCCCGAGACGGCCATCAAATTTGGGTCGTACGAAGCAGCCAAGCGGGCTCTGGCCAATTTTGAAGGCCATGGTGACCCCAGACATATCAACTCGTATTCAAAATTCACCGCAGGCGGTGTTGCTGGCATGATTGCACAGTAAGTTTTGAATGGTCTCTTGGTCGAAACGGAGCAATGTCTCAAATCCGGTTCATATTGGATTGTGCTAACTAACCGCGTGCGTGCTTGCGTGGTAGGTTTTGCGTTTATCCACTAGATACCCTAAAATTTCGCTTACAGTGTGAGACTGTTAAGGGAGGACTCACGGGCAGCGCATTGGTCCGCCAGACGGCTGTTAAGATGTATGCTGATGGCGGCATTCGAGCGTGTTACCGTGGTGTGACCATGGGTCTCGTGGGCATGTTCCCGTACAGTGCCATAGACATGGCCATGTTTGAGCTGCTCAAAAACTCATATCGAACGTACTACGCTAGGCATTCCGGTTGTCATGAGGAGGATGCTAACCCTGGCAACATTGCCACAGGCATGATCGGAGCGACATCTGGGGCGATTGGTGCGACGGTTGTATACCCGCTCAATGTGGTACGAACACGATTGCAGACACAAGGAACCGTGATGCACCGAGCGACGTATACTGGTATATGGGATGTGACTCAAAAGACCATTCAAAAGGAGGGATATCGTGGTCTGTATAAGGGATTGACGCCGAACTTGCTCAAGGTTGCACCTGCATTGAGCATCACGTGGGTGGTGTATGAGAATTCAAAGTCTGTCCTCGGGCTACATTGAGAATCATTTGAGAGGCGAGGAGCCGATCGAGAAAAGTGGACGTATGAGAAGAAAAACCAACCGGCTTCGCGTCGGGGGACGTGGCCCGGCGACTGCCCGCTGCCTTGTCCTTGCGGGCAGACCTTCTTTGGGACAGCATATTTCCTTTGTCGAAACAGTGATAGGCTGTGTGGTGGCTGGCTATGACTTGACCGGAAGGCATACACTGTTAGAGGGGAGGGAACTCATGGCTCATTTGTTTCAAGCTCTGGAAAGCCCTTTTCTGGGCAAAGACGTCAGCAAAGGCTAGGCTCTTAGAGGAACAGGATATATCCGAGGAGGACGGAAACAAAAACACACGAACCTAGTAGAATTCGACATGGTCGACATCCAAGAAGCATATAGGCACGATGGCATGATAGCGTGCTTGTCAGGGCATATAAACTGTGCAAAGTAGCACGCAATGATAATTTTTATATCTTTCAGACTTTACGCTTGCACGATACTTGTATCATGCGTGTAATTTCATTTGACTACAGAGCGAAACAATTAAATCTTAATATCTTTCAGACTTTGAGACACCGGCTTGGCCATCGGCCGAAAGTGGGTACGCGTCCCGGAGTGCCGTTGTCGGGTAAGGCAACCGGACCCGAGATGGGGCCAGTATTGCTTGTTGTGCCCGACCGAAAAAGCAGCATGCGCTGTAGATGCCATACAAGATGCCATATACGTCTGAGGTGACTAATCGCTGCAGTAATCTCATGGGCTCTTCTCTGGGCCTCGCACCATCCAAAGAGGAGGTATACGTTGCTGCCGGGGTGTGGTCGTTTTGGAGCGGAAGACGACGCCATGAGCGTAATTTGTTGCGTGCGCGCTGACGAGGCTTCAGCACGGAAACGGGTACCGGGACCGTAAAGAGGAAAGACAGCGGGGGAGCGACGATGGCGCTGACAGGGCCCCGAGATGTTAGCTCAGATTTGGCGCCTTCTGCAGAGCTTGTCTGTGGAGCGATGGGGTGTTGAGGCTCATCATGGCAACGTGAGGCTTGGGACTTTTGGTCTGCCGGTCCAGTTTGGGTTGGTGCCCTGTTGGTCGTTTCAATGCTGGTAGTTGGGAAAACGGTGATGGGGCGCGAGTGCTTTTGTTTCGCTGACTGTTGGCATATGATTACCAGATATACCGAATTGGTACTATTTGAATACCTATTCGGATGGTCGAGATGAATTAAAAAGATGCTTTCGTCTAGAATTGCGGCTTTGGCTAGCATCGACGTTGTTAATATGGAAACCGTCTGGAGAAATTGATGGTGTTTTGTTGGGGTCTGGGGTCGACTGTAGTACTACGTCGTCTGCAGTCAAGAGTCAGCCAACGTGGGGTCATAAGGCGACAGGATTGCTCTAGACAAAAGAACCCGGAAGAGTTCTTAGGGGTGTTAGTCTTGCTTACCCCCATGCTTTTCGAATGCGGTTGTTTTTTGCGACACCTTCATGGCTGTCTTGTGCTGGTTGAAGGGTAAAGGCGTTGCTACTTTGCCGGACACGCTGGATTGTTGCCCTCCCGCCCATTACTGACATTTGGACGGATATTCGAGTTTCCGGCCCTGAAGGTTCAGCGTCTCGTACACATAGGCCGAGACCGACACGCTCAGGACAGATTCAAGACCTACATTCGGCTGCAAGCGATATTCGAAGCATTCAAACCGTTGGAGGTGTTGAACGGACTGGTTGCTCCAATTTGGAAGTCGCGCCCGAGCAAAGCGCCTTCCCCAGATACACCCCGAATCACAGTCAACATCGTCAGCTTTATTCTACTCTGACTCCCCCTCCCGAGTCCTTTCCCTTCTTCCCGCTGCATTAGTCGACAACTTACGACTGCAATTTCGATCCCTTTTTGTCTCCATCCCGTGCCCGAACAATTTCGAGTGGCCTGCCACTGGGACTGGCTTGGCCTGACCTGATCTGAGCCGCAAAGCATGCCAGCTCCGTACGCTGACAACATGTACTCCGACATGGGCCACGACGCCGCCTCCGCTGCTGGTGACGACCATGAGAACCGTGATGAAGCCTTGTCACCCACTGACGGCTACTTCCACGCGTCGGAGTCCTCGGGCGCGGCGTCATCTTCTCACCATGTCCCCGACCGACCGTACCAGCAACACCCCGCCGTGACATGGCAGCAGCATCACCAGCTGCAGCGACCGCAACGCACATCATCCCATGTACCTGTCGTGCCCAATGTCCTTGTCGAAGATCCCACATTGCGGCATGAGAGCGCTGCAAAGGCAAAGGAGGCCGAAGAGGAGCGCTGGATAAATAACGGCGCCAGTCAGGCCTCTCCTGAAGCAGCCTTCACACCACACATGGGAAGCAACGTCATATCTCAAGGAATGCACCACGGTGCGTCTGCCTCCTTGGACACGTACATGGGCAATAACCAGACGACAACAGCTACGCCAGCTAGCCCTACAGTCGTCACCTCGCCCCTCCATCATCACAGGCGTAGCGTCGAAGAAGACGGCCCCCTTCTCTACACCGGCCACAGTACCCGTCTCCCCTATTCTCACACTCCCTTCGAGACAGCAGCTTCAGCAACGTCAACTTCCTTAAATCAGCCCACGCCTCAGTCTCAGACGCATCATCAGAACCATCTGGACGCGCCACCTGCCTACTCACCCTCTCCATCATCACCCTCGGCTGGCCATTCCCAAGACTACCGGACATTTGCACCTCCCTCATCTGGTAGCAACAACGTCAACCCGGACGTCAATCAGGACACAATGGGCATCCCTGAAGAACATCAGGCACTGCTGCCTCGTCAGCCTGAGTCTATGGGGGGCTCACCCAACGGCCCCCCTGCCTCTCGATGGCAGCGAGTTAAAAACGCTGTTCATTCTCCCAACACCAGAAAGAATATTCGAACACTTCTTGGCATTGCTGTCGTCTTATCTATTTTCTTTGCCATCTTTGGAAGTATATCTTTGAGCAGCGGCGGATCTCAACATTCCAAAGTGAGTAAAGCTTGAGCTTCATGTCGCAACGGCCTGTGCTGCCCAACCCTTTCACACGGCCAGTCAGTCATATTTCAGTTGTAAATGCAGCGATATGGGGTGTTACTACATTTGGCGCTCACATACAAGACCCAACTTCGACTTTGCCAAACCTGCCTATTTGTCCCTGAACACAAGCACACACAAGCACACCCACACCCACACATTGAAACACAAATCACCTACACAACTACATGTGGACATCATCCGTCCCGCCTCCGACCACATATGCTCATCATCACATAATTGCCTTGCTAACTGGCTCATTTGTCCGTCTCTAGATCCCTAAAATTATCGACAACGACCCAGTCAAAGAACCAGGCATGGGTGGCGAACGTGATCTTGAGTGGAGGCCCAGTGGTTCCTGCAGAAACACGCCTCACAAATTTGACAAGTCTATTACATCGCTTCAGTACGGCAGTGGCTTTTCTTTGGACATTGTACAGAGACTGGAGAGAAACGGCTACAGGGGAGGTCGTCAGCCTAATGTTTCTGGACAACTCTTACTTCGCCCAACCAAAGAATCAGGAGGCAGTGTCGAGATTGAGATCATCTCTAATGATGAGAGGCTAAGACCCAGTACCGAGATTCACGTGGACGATGGTCATCAATCCATCGAAATTATTTCTCCCCGGGCTCTTGACTGGTGGGACTACTCCGGTGCTACCCCTTGCATCCAAATGCGTGTCACTGTCTATGTGCCTCACAATGCCTATCTTGATAACCTTAAACTTGACCTTGTTCATCTTGACGTGGACATCATTGAGGGCCTTGTTATGGGCGTCGTGGACGGTCCCACCATTAAAACTGTTGTTGGCGACGTCAACACTCCCCGCGCCAGTAATATCGACGACGATGTCGCGCCATACTCGGTACAATCGCGACGAATCATCATTGAGACTGTCAGTGGCAACATCAAGGGCTGGTTCCCTCTCTATGATCTTCTTCAGGTCAAGTCTTCTTCTGGAGATGTTGAAGCCCAAGTTGCCCCCAAGGCTTCTGACAAGAAATCCGGCAACCAAGCTACGCTCAAGGTTGAATCAATCTCCGGGGATGTCAAACTTGAGGAGCCGTTGACATCTACTGTCAGGAGTGGAAAGCTAGGAAAGAAGATCCCACCCCGCGATTACCAGGTCGAGATTGGCACGACATCCGGAGGCATCACCGCCACCGTTGTCATGACATCTTCCGCCAAGATTGGCTCTGTTTCTGGCGACCTGAATCTCAACGTGCTGCCCTTGGTCACCAAGAGCTCCGATAAGACGAGCTTCAGCACTGACACCAAGAGCGGATTTACCAATGTCAATATTTACGAAGCGGTGGCAATGGAGCTATCTGACAACGCCAAGTCCCACGTAAAAGACTTTGAAATTCGCAGAACCGGCCGCCCAGCTCTCTACAACTTTGATAGCAAGCATTCTTCCATTAGTGGTGATTTCAAGCTTTACTATCCCGCTGCTTGGGTGGGGAAATTCCGCGCCGAGAGCATGTCTGGAGATATTTCCGTGTCTGGTCAAGGTGTCAGGATTACTCGACGAAGTCGTGGCTTCGGAAAGATTGTAGAGGGCGAAAAAGGCGATGGCGCGTCATTTATAAAGATGGGTACTGTGTCTGGCGCCGTGCGGCTTCAGGTTGGCAAGGAGTAGGTTGAAAACAAATCATGGTTAGGATTTGAAGTAATATGAATGGAAATTTGATACTGAAAGTGTACAGCACGTAGGTACTGCTGTATACACGATGATGTGGCAAGCATGGGAATATAGGAGCTATTGGTGTTGTCTATGAGATTAGTGTGGAATACCTAGTATCTTATGAAGTCGCAAGGCTTGTTGTACCTGGTGGTGAATCCAAATATGTCTTTGAGAGTTGTAAGCTGCGACTGCGTCATCATCAACGTAATGCCATTTCGGACATGAACATGGCACATCACCCGGTCACTACCAGCTGATCATCTCCAAGACTGACACCGCTCTCAAAACAAGAAATTAAACTGCAATTTGTGTCCCAATTATACTGTCATTATTCATGCATCTTCATAATCATATTCATATTCCTATCGCAGCTTTGCATCCCAATGCAGGCACAGCCCTCTATGTACATATACAGACATTGCTAAAGTGACATGGATAAAATGTAAAAAAAAATAGAAACAGAGATTCAGCCTGGAAAGGGTATCCTGGTAAGTAATTATAGCGTATGTAACAAATGTGCCCCTTGGGCAGCTGGTTACACTATTTTCATGCTGATGATATATATATCTGTCGTTAGGTTTGGATATAGAGATGCTGGCTACCCAAAAGTGGGAAAAGTAAAAGCAGCAAATGCAAGATCCTAAAAAAAAAGAGAGGGAAGAAGGCGAGCACTTGATCATCCGGGCATCTGATTAGCGATAGAGACGCCGGAATTATCCTTCTACAGGCCATGGGAGATCACGGTTGCCTACAGCCGTGCAAGTCAGGTAGCTTATTCCCTCAGAGGTCCTGCTCGGGCCGGCCAAGTCGAGCTCTAGCCCGCTTCCAAGAAGGGGACGAACAAGGTCTCGTGCCATGGCCTTCATTTCATCCATGCGTTTCTCGAACCGGCGTAGGTTGTCACGACGATACAGCTCCGGTGTGAGTTTCAAGAACCTCTTGCAGTCCTCATGGTTAAGAAATGTGCTTGGGTTTCCAGACCCCAGGGTCCGATAGGCCCGCCCAATAGAGGTCAGTGGTGGGACCGGCGGTGGTGGAGCGGGAGGGTTGTTGCTGCTTCGGCTGTTGCCATGTCGTTCAGGTGATGGCTGAGGAGATGTGTTATCCGCAAGCCATTGACGGAAGAGACTCACCACAAGCCAATCGAGGTAGTTGTTCCCAGGAGTGACACGCTCTCCTTTTGCACCGGTGAGAGTGAGCCGAAAGAGACGCCCCTCTACTCGGCTGATGATTTCCTCAAGCTCGTCTACTTTGTCCTCGATGATGTCGAGAACAACATCGGGAAGCGCAGCACGAATACTGCGCTCCCCCACCGGCCATTGGCCAACAACATGAATCAGGGCTTCCTGAAAAATAACTTTGCTTCGAGCAAGATACCCCAGGCGCAGGTACGAAATCGGGTATTTCGCGATTTGCTTCCATAGCCGGGATTGGAACTGAAGCAAGTGGTGGTCGACCCGAGGCCCGACCACGGCCAAAGCGTCGTACTGGTCAGCCAGAGCTAGGAGCGACTTGCACTGGACATAGGCATCTGCGACATTCACACCATCCAACACAGGGGAGTAGTTGTAAAATATGCGAAACAGGTTATCGTAGTCGCGTAGGAGGTCTTCGTCTTCCTGGGACATGCTGGGAGTCACCGCTAGGTTGGCAACAGAGCGCGAGAAGGAGACATGGTTGGTGGTGGGTGGGCCATGTTTTGATCGCGAAGCGGACTTGGTGTTCGACCCAGAAGCCGAGCCGAATAGTGAAGGAAATGACGGATGCGAGTCTTCTGACGGTGTTGTCTCTTCCTTTTGAACCAACATGGGAATATCGCCCTCGCCAACACCACTGTCTAGTTCATACCTCCACCTCTTTCTTGGGGCCGAACCACCAGATCCAGGAACACCACTAACAGCGAACCGGTCCGAGTCACTGCTGTCCAACGTAGACGGCGGCTCCTCACCGATACGGGCCAGTTCATTACCTCCCGCCAGCAGTGGCCGCGCTTTGGACCACTCCATGGAAGTACTCGCTTCGAAGAATCCACTACACCTTGTCAAGGTGTGCCGGTGTAGGAGGTAGCGTTGCGTAGTGGTGTCAGCACCTGCCCCGAGGCGGATGAGGATCTCGACATCGCCGCTGTGCGCAAAAACGGGAAATTCATTCTGAGGAGCATAGGAACGACCGCCAGTGTGTGAACGGTTGTATCGCTTGGTGCGGGAGAGCGATGGTCGCGAGACGACAGATGCAGAAGAATACTGGTGTCCACGACGTGATGAGACATTGGAAGCTGTGTTGGAGCCTGAAGAGGGCTGGTCTGGTTGGGACACCATGAGCGGCGACGGGCGACTGTATCTGTGTGTGATGGTGTGTGCGAAGATTCCAAAAGATGAGCTTAGGGGAGTCGCGCTCGGCGTTGTTGTGTGGTCATGACAGCCAGCATGAAGATGGTGGAGCAGTTGGCGCACCTCGGTCTGCAGGAACTTTCACGAACGCGACGGAGGGATGTACAGACAGCGGTTGTGAAATGAGCCCAGGCGAAGCTCGATGGTTGCACGGGTGCGTATAACGGCAAAATGACAATGCCGATGCTTGCGAAAGGGATAACGGCAGAGGCTGGACTGAGTCGGCAGGGAGGTGGAAATTGTAAGCTGCGATGCTCCAAGCGGGGGAGCTAGAACACACGCCGGTTTGCGAACAGAAGTCAAGCGACATGTGAGCCCCGTGTCTTGGGTGGCGGAAGGCTCGCGTCCTGCGTCTGCCTCTCGTGTGTATGCGCGCGTAGGGAGAGTGGTGTGCGGTGGTGTATGGTCGCTGGATGGCTAATGGGATGTCGGATGGTCGGTTGGAGTTTGATCTTGTCGGGGCAGCGAGCATTAGTATGACCGGCACCAACCGGCTTCGAGGTGCTCGTGGAGCTTGATGCACGCTTAATGCTCGTCCAAGGAATAGCGAGGCACACCAGACTCGACTTGCGAGTCGCCCAAGTGCAAAGCTGCGGCAACTAAACAGGGCAAGGCCCACAGATCACGGACTGGGTGCAGCCATGGCCCATGATGGCAAAGATGAGAGGAGGAGAGAAGAGAAGAGAAACGACTGCCTCGTGGTCCCAAACAGGGAACAGGGAATAACATAACAGGCCAACTTAAGTCAGGTCGTAACTGATTACAGGCAGGTAGTCTGGATTGGCAAGGAAGGACCGAGCTGGGTTGCTAGGCTCTGGAGCACGCTTTCGTGGCGAACAAATGGCAGGAGCGATGGAGATTGAGCGGCGAGCGAGCGGCCAGGCAACTGCCGTCAACACCTCTGCATGCGTGAGCTTGCCGGCCACAGTCGTGATGGTTTCATTCCAGCCGTTCCCTCCCATTTGTTCCCTTTGGCAGCTTTTGCCACACGAACGGGGCCACGCATCTACTGGCCCACAGTCTTTGCTTGGCCCGCCTGCCGCTGCAAGGTGCATCAAGCTGCATGCAAGTGCCTGTTGTCTGGTGGCCAATGGGTGCAGTCAGACTCGCTTTGCTTGTGAGGCCTCACGGAAGTGTGGACGAGAATCAACGTTGAGCATGGCTTTTGCAGTGACAACTACCGGACGGTGTCAGAGATGCAGCAGACGTGAGCAAAAGGGGGATTCTGGGAAAAATTCCTTGACTTGCTGACCATTATCATCTCATCCAATGCCAACACACGCGCCTCACCAGTCCTCCATATCTTGTGCCTTGTGACAACTTACACCTGACCCTCGTGCATGGCATCTTCCAGAGAGGCAAGGGGTAGCTACTGTGGCGCCCTGATCAGAGGCCAGACGCAAAGAACAAGGCGTGGACGGAGCATGCAATTCAGCTGACGCTGACTATGCAGGACTGCAAAGACTGGTCAACTGATATCCAGAGCTCAAGCTACTTGGTTGTGAGTACGGAGTAACAACTAGTCTGGGAGCTTAAGCGACATTCGGGGTCCTGACTTCTGGCTGGCCCCACACGACAAGGTCCATGTCCCAATGGTACCAGCGACGTTCAACGTCCAACCGCCAACTACCGTCCTCACACATCATATTTTCCCAGTAATGCCTTGCAGCCTCACATCTGGCCTGGCGAGGCCGCACTGACCAAACTCTGTCAACGGAATCCGGCTGTCAAATAGCTGTGACTCGACAACTTCGAACGCTGCCCACATTTCACAATTGCACCATTGCCGCAACCTGCGATGGAATGAGCGTTCCGACTCGCGTCCTTCATCATGGCGCCAAGCCCATCTCCTTGACGGAGTTTCGGGATGCTGTCGAGGCCGTCTGTCCTCCACGCTTCCCAGCAGTCCGATATGCACGACCGCGGCGAGTTGGTATGCCATCTTCCTCCAAACATGGCCAAACATGAAATGCTAACTGGTCTTTGGCAGCCCTTGCCATCAGCGGCGGTGTGGATTCCATGGCCATGGCCTTCCTCTTCTCCAACCTCATAAGAGCACACCGAGGCATCAAAATTGCAGACAATCCGACCGAAAGTGCTTTTGGCGTCATTGTTGATCATAGATTGAGACCAGGGAGCACGCTCGAGGCAGTCAAGGTGGCACAGGAGCTCAAGAAGCTGGGTCTCAAAGCAGTCACTAAGCCTCTCAACTGGAAGGATGTAAGCCGACATGGCCAAGATCCGAGTAGTCTCCCAAACATGGAGAGTGTTGCGCGAACAATGCGGTACCGCATGCTTGGGTCAACTTGCCGCTACCTCAATGCCACCAGTTTATTCTTTGCCCACCATCGGGACGACCAGTACGAAACTGTTCTCATGCGTTACATGAGTGGCCATCAATATCGTGGGTTCCAGGGGATACGAGAGGCCAATGCCATCCCGGAGTGCTACGATTTGCATGGCGTCTACAAGAGCGGCTTGTTGGATGATCAGTCGGCCCAACATCCGTATTTAAGCTTCAAACCCCCCAACAAGGAAATGAAGCGCCTGAGGTGGATGATGAAGGATGATTGGGAAATCCAGCCTTGGGACCGACTGAAGCACTATCTTGGTATTAATGATTTGTCAGCCCACTTTCCAGGTCACATCATACGCGATGTAGACTCGCGTGTGCCGTACTTGACCCCATTAAACTGCGAAGATGGTGGCATCACGATATACCGACCGCTCCTGGAGTTTGATAAGGATAGGCTCATTGCCACCTGTGAGGCCAACAAGATCAAGTGGTTCGAAGACCCAACAAATGCTGACCCGACTCTCACGCCGAGAAATGCCATTCGACACATGAATCATAGCCTACTTCCACCTGAACTCCGCAAGGAAGCAATCCTCGACATGTCGCGAGAAGCGAAGCGTCGTACAAGGCTGGAAGAAGCTGAGGCGCGACGCTGGTTGATGCGTGAAGCTGTCATACATGATTTTGACCCAAACGCAGGCACGCTACTTATTGAACTTGCGTCGTTCAGGTCGAACAACGCACATTGGCGGCGTCTCTTTTCTAAGCCAAGAGATGAGGCTCGCAAACCCCATTCGCGACTCATTGCAGCCATCGCTATCCGCAAACTGGTTGAATTCGTCACCCCGGACATGAGTGTCCCTCCGTTAGCGAACCTAGACAATGTCATTGACCGACTCTTTCCAGAGCTTGCTTCTCAGCCAGACTTATCGCTACCAAAGGCATTCACTATCGCCGGCGTCGTCTTTGACCCCATTGTCGGCCCCGCATCAACCAAATGGTTCCTATCGCGAGCTCCCTATTCATCCATAAAACCGTTACCAGAGCGAAAACTCCCCGGCTATCTCAATTATCGTATCACCCCCTTAGTCAGTGAAATACACGACCAACCTTCTCGCCATTGTCACTGGCGCACCTGGAAAACCGCCAAGCTCTGGGATGGTCGATACTGGATCCGAGTGAGTGCCTGCGTGCCGGCAAGATTCCACATCCTGCCTCTCCTACCGCACCATGCGAAGCCTTTCCGGAAAGCACTGCCGCCGAGGCAACGTTCACGGCTAGAGCAGATCCTCAAGTATTACGCCCCAGGGAAGATTCGATACTCCTTACCCGCGCTGTATAGTGTTGAGGCAACAAAAGCAGAGGACGGGGCTACTCCGACTTTGACATTACTTGCACTCCCTAGTTTGGGGATTCATATACCCGGCTTAGAGCGATGGGTTAGGTATGAAGCAAGGTATAGATGGATTGATGCATCACTGCTTGGACTAAAGAAGAGAGGGGCGCAGGCCCCCATGCCGATGTATCATCGGCCATGGACGAGATCAAGGAGATTGCGGAGGCAGAGGGTGACGGCATTTAATGCGAAAAGGGCACAAAGTGCGTTGTAGGGATAATGTATTCAGAAAGAACCTCTCAATAGGACGATCAGCATACTCATTAACTTATATTAGTTTCTTTCGTAGCCATACATGAAGTAGCATAAGAACTGGGGACGTGTCGAAAAGTCGATTGAGAACTTTGAACACCGCCGGCCCAGAGACTAGTTTTGGTGGCATGAGAGCTGGATTATCAGGATTGTGAGCCCCGCGAATGTTCTCGTTGTAGGACGGCCCAAAAAAAAAACGAAGCAACTCTCTAAACCCCTCCCATACGCAGAAACAACTACTCTCGAGGCCTTGTAACTGCACGTCTAGCAAATATGCTGTTTATAGGGCGATTTGCTGATTGGGTCGAAGTTGGCCAACTTGGAAAGGGTGTAATAGCAGATTTTCAATTGCCACTTTGGTTCGACAAGTCTCATCAATCTCATGATTCTAAGCACAGCAGATATCCCAACAAGTACTGTGGAAGAAGTCGGTTAACCCTGCCCATGCTAGGCTGCGTACACTAGTGTGCCAGGGTATACAAGTTTGACCAAACTGGGTTTCTGTGGCATCGTTTCCCTCAAATCTGGAGAGAGACACTGGCCAAAACTGCGTAGGTATTGTACGTGCTAGATCGTGGGGTTGGCAGAGTGGTGGCATTCCTACTTACCAAGGAAGGGTTGTCTAATCCCCTCTGGTGTGTTAAGGCTCCAGTCAGGTCTCTGTAGGGATGGGTATCCAATTAGAAGCTAGATTCTAAAGGGTACATAGATCTGCTAATGAAAGAGGTGATAATATAAGTTACTATAAGAATGCTTAATACAAATCGCTACATCATAATGTGCTACAATCTAGGTGCTATTAAAGTTATCCGAGGTCACTAGCTGCCTGCAGGGGTACTGTGGGACCGGTGACCCCACTTGAGCCTCAACACACCAGAGGGGATAGTCAGTACTTAAGATAGTTTTAACTAACATCCTCCAACAAAGGCCAATAAAGGCCGGGTAGCTCAATGGTAGAGCGTCTGACTTCGAAGCGATCCAGTATCATTAAAGTATCATTATCCCGGAGTCAGAAGGTGTAGGTTCGAGTCCTGCCCTGGCTAAATATTTTTTTTCGTTCCGTGTAAATCAAGTGTTGCTATGCTGAACAAGCTGGTTCGACGTGTGGTATCATCAGGGACGAATCCTGTTAACAGGTGAGTCGGCAAAAACGGCAAACTCTGTAGATTGGGGACGAGTTTTTAATTAAGAAAAAAAAAGCAGGAACCAAATTTCATAATGGCTTTGTTTGCCCTGAATTTTCTACGGGCGCGTACCTGCTCGATTTGACGTTGACATTCTTCGGTGCCATCAGCATTTTCGCCATGCCGTGGCCCTGTCGCCACCGAGGCGAACAAGGCCACCACGACCAATGGTGTCAATGTTCATGCGTGTACTGCGTGCAGCAGGGATACTAATGGAGATGGCTGCCTGCCAAGCAGCCAGTTGATTGCAGGGGGCCATGATCGAATTGGAAGTTTGTGTGTTGCAATTGTCTTACGCCCACAGAGTGAGGCGACTCGTGTCACGGCAAGTTTCGTTGGTACGCTGTCGAGGCGGCCAGGCTTTTCTCAAAACGCTTCGCCCCTGAAAAGCAGAGCCTTCCACGCAACAGAAAAGGCACAAAAAGTCAACACCATCACCTGTTAAAACGTATGGCTAGTATCAATGCTGAGATACAAACAAACAATCTGGAGTATCGTGAGAAACCCAATCCCCCGCTTACCTGGCAACTAGGCCTCGGCGGCCGCGCCTGCCTGCACAATCTACTTGACCGCTCCGCCCTTTCCCATCCCTTCGAGCCAAGCCTCATCCCCGTCGAAACAAAAAGAATGAAAGAAAAGACGCTAAGAAACGAAAAATGTTTCATTCTTTCTTGCCAACTCGACAAACCTCCAACAGGACGAACCGAGCAATACACCACTCGTCACGCTTGCTTATACTCTTGCCGTTCGGTGTCAGGAGGGTCTTATCGCCGTGGTCTTCTGCTTGTCGGACAGTGCCGCCAGATGATATGAACCAACATCCCAACCCTCGAAGAATCAAACGCCAAAATTCAAATAACGAGCTGCGAAAAAGTCGACGACAGAAGCCGAGATCCCAAACCCCATCTCGTGAAAGTCCCAGTCAACCGACCCATGGGGTCAGCCCTGCCTAGACGTGTTGCAAGCCTCACTTTTGCCCCAGATTTGTCGAGTTTCAGGCCTACCCGACTCGCCATCAACCATTAGTGGAGAATTTGCAACAAATAGCTTCGACACCACCGATCCCGGATTCGGCCGGGTTTGCCGCGGTTGAGCTAGGCGAACATGGTGGGGGAGTCCGGAGCTGTTACCGAAACATGCAACGCATCCAAGTCCAGTCCGTCTGTCGCCCGGCCGCGAAGAACAACCACATCCGATGCCAACACGCGCTGCCTGCAAGTGAGCGACATATCCCTAAGCCCGTTGAAGCAGCAAAGAGTCAGAAAATGGAAAACGAAACAGCATAATTGACCGAACTAGTGCGCTACGGCACTGCTGGGAGCGAATCAATTACCTTGACGGCTTTTGCAGTATCCTGTCAGTATCGTTTAACGCCTTCGACAGGTTGATCTGGCATGCTCCACGTGGACCTCACCCGGTCTTTCTCGGACCCCGAAACGCAAGTCGCGCGGTAAATGATGGTTCGGAAACTCTCTTTGCGACCTATTCCATTCAAATGTCGATTCATCAATCAAGTGCCGCTTGTATATATGATCAAGGAAGTAGAAGTCTGGCCGAATATTTGCTGCTGTCATTCCCTCATCAAAATGGCCAGCAATATGGTACAGTCTCTGACGAAAACACATCTCTTCTCTTTGGTTCGAAGGAGACCCAAACGTGTAGGTGTCGCAAAACCAGCAAATGCTGAATTTGGGACAGCACCAGTTCAGATGCTCGCCTATTATGTGGTGGATCCACAAGTTTACTTTGTTCGAGGGGAAGACTACATCGCAGCCAGAGAAGTTCTTGAATTCGCACGGTAAATTTGTCGGAATGGGATCCGGCACCGCGGGACGGTGACGCCCTACCATTTCTGGACCATATAAAGGTGGAGGGGCCGTGGCGCTGGTACATACTGATGAACGATCAAATGCGTCAAAAGCTGAGCTCATTCGCGTCGCACTGGTCGCCAACGATGGAGCGCGCTCGGTGTGGGCCTCTCCCAGAGGTCGTTGTTCCTCAATGAGTAGCTCCTGGGGATAGTATTGTCCGCCACCATGGCCAAAGCCGAGAAACTGATGGGTATCGCGACTCCTTTGTACTCGGCCCACTAGTTCGTCAATCTCTCCTGGATCGAAGGCCATGATGTGGATTCCGGCTGTCGCCCTAGCGTTGCGCGACGACAAAGAGTGGGGTATCAGATACGAATCAAAGTCCTACCGGGAGTAGGACTGATGGTGAGCAGAAGGGAGAGTCGGTATATTTCGCAGCCCGGAGTTCTTCTACTCCTGATGGTTTGCTTCGGAATGAAATACCAAGCCGTGGATGTGTAGACAGATGTGTGCTCGGGTTTCGTTGATGATTTGGTGCGGGATGATTGACCTTTCTAGGTCCACCGCTATGTTGGTGCGCGCAGTGCTCCCGCCGATCAGTCTAGACCAGAGGCCAGGGTTACCAGAGACGGCGGAACTTTTCTTTTTGGCAGATCGACCCGTTGGATCGTCCTAGCTCGCAGAATCTGAGCAATACGAATAGTCCAAGAGGACCACCTGCCAGACGAATATCTCAACTCAACCTGTGAGGGTTGAACAACGCAAGAAAAAAAAAAAAAGCCCCCGGCGGCAAACCTGGATGATATGTGGTGGGGGGCTTTGCCAGCTTTTCTCACCCACCTTTGGCCATTCTCTTGACCAAGTACATGCAACGGTCTGAAGCTCGTCTCTCTGGTGGAGCGAGTACCGTTTTGGGAGAAGAAAGAGACGCATCCGGTATTTTACTGAAATGAAGCCCTGGTCGCGATATCGGAGGAGACATACACCACACCAAATGACCAAAGGCTTTCGTCGCAGTCAACCGGATATCCGCCCCAAATGCTATGAGCAGGCACAGGAAGCATCTCCTATAGCTGTCAAATCAAGCACTCACACAGAAACGTGTGCTATTCGGAACCAAGTTGTGTCACAGAAGACATATCATGTTTGCTCTACCACAATGGCTTCGTAGCCCCGGTGTGATGTCTGTGCCACCACCAATTCATCCCATGCCCAGGAAAAGGGGAACGGCGAATTACAGAGTACGCCCTCACCGAATCTACCAGCCCGGTGCCATGCGGTGCCTGCTTTCCAACATATTTATAAAAGTCATGTCAAGTCCTTGTGAGAGTGGAGGGTGGCCAGTGCGCCAGGTATTGGAAAACAACAAAGGCAGTTGAACAAACACACCAAGGCAATCTCTGGGCCGCCAACGCCACAGACGTCTCCAAAAGGGCGCTATGGAGAGTCATGGGTCTGAATCGATTTTCGGGCAGGCTGAGTTTGGCGATGAAGTACGGAGGAGTAGAAGTGATTTCTGAACCGCCATGTCGCATTGGCAAGGGTTCCGAGCTCGGGCCAGACTGTGATTGGGCTTGGCTGGCTGACCAGCAAAGAGCTGCCACGGCGCAAGTTCAAAAGCTGCCCAGTTGAGTAGAGAGCGGGGAGAGAGGTATGAGGGGGAGCGCGCAGACCCGGAGAGATGAGGCTCAAGCAGCACCCGGGGGCACCCCTGCTCTCGAGGTAGAGGTAGTGGCCCCGCTGCAGGCGCCGTGGATGAGGATTCTTGGCCTCGTTATGTCAAATCAGACATCAGGGAGTTTGGTGAGAGGGTATGCTCGCTCTATTGGCGGCTCAACAAGGTGTTTCTTCAACTGTAGTAGTCCGCTTCAAAGTTGCTGTCGCACCTGTGAGCGCGGCGAATCCTCGAAGCCTGTTTCTGAAGCCAAGAAGCGCTTTCCAAAAGTATTACTTGCGTTGTTCATGATTCCCATGGAGCCAATTTCCTGGGGCAAATTATATATATATGTCTATAACTGGCTGTGCGCCGTGACCACGATTTGGAAGTCTGCTCAAACTCAAAACAGGATATTCGACTTGGCTAGAAGACCGTTGTCTTGCTCACGTGCAGGTGAAGTTTTTTCGGGCCGCTCACGCTGATATCAATCCACATTATGCTGCTGGTCTGGTTGTAGACGATAGCAGAGGATATTTTATCGAACGTCTAGAGTATGACGCGAACGCTAGTAGCGTTGAAGGCTTGGCATTGAGTTTGGAAGTTGGCTTTTGAAGCTTGCTTGTCGGAAAGACCCACAATGATGCATCTTTTTCCCCAATGTCAGCAGAAAAGAAGACATGGAAGGAGAGCGATGCTCGGGTAATAGATGGATGGGGCCGCTTCAGTCGAGCCGGACAAGACGTTATTGTGTGCGGACTGGTACATACGGAGACGACTCCACGATTCGGCAGTCGGCACGGTGGAGCCGATGAGATGTCTGAGGTCTCGTCTGGCGCAAGTGTCATCTGGTACTTTGTGCGGTGCCGAGTCGGCGAGCCTGCCAGAGAAATGGATCTGGTCATGGCCGCAGTGTTGCCTATAATATGCTAGCTAGCGACTGGGTGTATTGGCGTCTGGTCCAGTCCAGCAGGTCAAAATACATCTTGCCCGAGTTTTCCACGCGTTCATGGGCCAGCTGGGATCCCCCGCGTTTGTGTCTGGATGGCGAAGCAATGCCGCGTGGAGCCTGTGAAGGTGCTGGCAAATGAAGATTGACCGCGGAGTGGGCAGATGCTCCGGCCGGTTGAGACGGGGGCTGAAGGTCACGAGCGCGTGATGCGATACGAGGATGCTTGTCGTCTACTATTTGTAACACCAGTTTAACCCGTCGACGGGACGCCAGCTGTGCGCCAGCAGTGCGCCAGCTGTGTGCTGGTTGTACGCCAATCCCGTCCAAGAAACTGCACAAGTTGCATGCCAACCTGGGAAGGTACGTTCAAGACGGGCCCGAGCTCAAAATATTGCGTCCTGTTTCGTAGTTGCCTGCCAGACGATTCCATCTTGGTATGAACCCATATCGATATCCAACACGCCTCTTTTGTCAACAGAGCGCTACCGAGTACTGCTCAAACACAACGCTCCGTCGAGAGCCCGCCGCCAAGACTCGAGAGTGAAGCCAACACCAAGAAATAGAACAGCCACTCGGGACCTGTCATCGTGTCGAGTCCCGAGTGCGTACCAGATGATGACACCGTCGCTGCCCGTCCCAGTTACCGTCGCCACTAACCGCTGCCTCCACAAGCGCGACGACTACGACGGGCCCAACCTTGCCGTGCTCATCCCCGTCATCGTCATCCTCACCCTCATAGCCGTCTTCTTCTTTGGCTGGCTAGGCGTGCCTTGGCCCAAAATCATGGCATGGTGGAAGCGCAAGCGCTCGCGCACAGCCGCGACCTCCAAGGACCACCACGACCACGACCAAGAGTTGCAACACCAAAGCCCATCTGGCCGCGCCGAGCCGCAGCCGCAACCGCAACCGCAACCGCAGCCGGGCTCGCGCCTGTCCTACGCAAAGGCCTTTGAGCGGAGCCACATCGATGCTCTCAAGCTGCCCAGCGTTGGCGCCGACCCCAAGCCCAAGACTGCCAAGGAACCCAGCAAGCGCGTCATGGAGGGAGAAGAGGCAAATCGCCCACCTACTCGAGCGTCGACCGAGGCGCCGCCAAGCGGTTCCCTCACCCCCGACTTGTCCGCGGGCCAGATGACGCCCGGGCAGCAGAGCACGCTCAGTGCCGTGCCCGAGAGGAGAGCCTCGCCCTGGGACCCTACGAGAAACCCCGATTGAGGGTTCCTTGGGTCCCTGTCGTGAGAGACTACCGGAGGAGTCCCTTGTAGGACTGATACGAACCTTGGACTCTGGCTGTCCTTATCATCTCTGACCTTGGCCTCGAATACATCTATCCAACCACGTCAAGTCTGGCCCCCTGGTTCGGAAAAGATGCCCGAACAACTACAGCAAATAGTGTGCCCGAGCGAGAAATTCCTGTTCTTCAGCACCCTGCAATGATACCCCTTGCTATCCCGGGGAACGCACCAGCCCCAAAAGACCAGTGTAGTTGCGGCAAAATTACAAATCGTATGCGCAAAGTGCGGCCTCGAAGAGTTTGGCGAACACAGCCCCAGGATCTCCTTGGAGCAAAAGAGCGGAGCGTGCGGATTTTCAGACAGGGAGGGTAGCGGCGATCTTTGGGCATATTTGGCCATGGAGAATTGAAATCCCCCCCTTCAGGCCGTAGGAAACATGGCAGATATTCTCGTCGATATCGCAAAACGACTCTAGTTCTCAAACTGCTCGGGGGGCTGGCGGAGAAGCCGCTTGATATGGCCAAACGCCCTTGTCCCCCGCAATAATCAAGACGCCAGTTCACAACTTTGACCTAATAACAGAGCAAACATTGTTTCACGGTAGAAAACTCCGCAAGCTGAACGGCAAACAAATTGCCTTGTCTTTGATATATCCAAGCGTAAATAAAATCTATCGCTATGAACCCCAACGCCTTCTCTGCCATGCGTGAAAAAAAAAATCAAAAAAGTCTACCATGAGCCAGTACCGTGAAATTCACCCCTTCTCGCCCGTCAATTCTCGGGACTACACAGGACCCTCGCCTTGGCAATAACATTTCGAAACTGCATCCGGCCCCCGTTCTCGTCCCCGTGCTTAATCACCCCCGGAAACACAACACACCAAATCTCCCTTCTGGCAAGAGCTTCCTCGTCCTCGTCTCCCAGATCCTCCATTGTTTCCGGCTCAAACATGACCTGTTGATGGGGGAGCACCTCTGGCATGTACACCCTCAACACGGCCTTCTGAGCCACCAGTAGCCTCGCCAGTTCGACAGAGTTATTCACCAGTACGCGAAGCGCTGAGTCTCGTGCTTCCGAGCGTGATGGCGCGGATGACGTGCTGCTGTCGGTAATAGAGTCTAATATACGATTGATCCGAGAAATCACCTTCTCGACATATTCCGTTGTAGAAGATTGTAGGAGTTGAGGGGCGTCGCGGCGAATAAGGGCGAGCGTGGATGCTCGCCATTGATTCACCGACTCGTCAGTAGCTGCTGCATGTTGTTAGTCGCAACTACTAAGAAAGAAGCCATGCAGACAACATGACGTACAAAAAGAGGACAAGAGCCCCTCCATCTGGCGAAAGCACCGCGTCTGGTCATCCGACAAGCCCACGAAGTAGGTATCAAAGACCATTTCTACCAAGATTTTGGACACCACCGACTGTAGTAAGTGTACCTTGACAGTTTGAGCAAGTGCCTCATACATGGGAACGAGTTCGCTGAGCTCAGCGAGCGTTGCCTCGTCCACTTTTGCAAAGTCGACTATCACGATCCATGCCATGTCAGCAAGCCATGCAATCTAACAACGACACAAAAAAAAAGACGGAGACGAGGAGAAGAAAACTTACCCAGCCTCGTCCTTCGGAAATTAGTAATAACCCAGTTCTGCAGTCCATTCCCCAACCGTGCCATACCATCCCCAAAAACCTCATCGCTCGTCTGTCCATCCGTCCTTGTACTCGTGCTCACAAACTCCTTCAAGCCTCGAATCTGGCTCCTCAGCCCTCTCATCTCGTCATCCCGTTCCTTCAGCTCCCTCCTCAACACCTCCCATCCTTGCCGCAACTCCTCCCTCTCTGCCTCTCGCACATCAACCTCGGCCCGCAACAGCCGCAGCTCCGTATCTGTCCGCAAGTATTGCTGATTCAAGGCACTATGCTTCGCCTGCCAAAAGGTAGCCGTTTCACTCTCGTTTTGACTCAATTTGTCCAGTTCGCGCTGGAACTCGCGCTCCATAATGCCCATTTCCCTTTCCAGATAGGCTATTCGCTCGTCCTTTTCCCGCACCAGCACGGCGTCGCGCTCCTTTTGCCTCTCCTTGGAGGACGAGGCGGTGTATCTGATAGATGCTGACCTCGCGGGGGCCGATGAGCCGTCTTTGTCCTTGTCGGTGACGGATGCGCCGCCGCTAGAGGCGTTGCTAGATGCGGTTTCGTGGGCGTCTTCGGGCACGGCTGCGTTGTTGTTGACCATTGCTGCGCGGGGAGGCATGGCCGGCATGCTGTTGCTGCCGCTGCCGCTGCCGCTGCCGGTGGAGTTTGGGTTGCTGGATGCGGCGGTGCCTGACGTGGATGGTGTTGACACTGTTGAGTGGTTGTGTCTGGAGCCGGTGCGCAGTGCGTGGCCGCCGCCGCCGCGGCGCTTCTCCGGAGTCTGCATCGAAGTTGAATGTGGCGATGAATGTCCCTGGGAGGTTCGTTTGTCTGCTCTTCATGGACTCGTGTTTTCATGCGTCATCAGAGTTCCTTTAGGATGAACAGGGCGGTGGATTAGATGCACAAGGAGCCTGGCACCGCATCGTTGCTAGATACTCCTAGATCGGCGTCACGGGATGTCCAATGTATGGATGTATGGATGGTTGAAAGTCACTCACGGGAGGAAGGCGAAAACGAAATTAAAAGGCCTCTCCCAAAGTGGTTGCCTGGCAGCGCAAGCTAGCAGGTTGAACTTTGAGGTTGAAGTGGCTAAAGTCAATGGAGGTGGTGGAACTTGGTTGCGACTGCACAAGAATGTGGGGAGGCGAGCGAGACCGTAAGGGTCGGCGGGGCAAGACTGACCGACATGCACGGCCACGGCTGCCTTTTCCTCGTCTGATATACTACTCCGTATCATCTCTCCATTTTCATTTTATGCCCCATTTGTTAAAATAAAAATAAAAATAAAAACAAGCTGGTCCGAATGGCTTGGCAGAACAGCAAAGAAACCACCATGGACAAACAGTTCTTACTCCACCTCCTCTCATATCTCGATGTCACCCTCGACCTCATAAACCTCATCCCCGTCCACCTTCTTGGCACCCATTCTACAAACCGCCACCCTGCTAACCGGCATATCCTCAACCCATATGTAGTCCTCATATTTGCTCATTAAATCAGTCGCATCAAGCATCAGCTTCTCTTTCCTCCTTCCACCCCCCCTCCCCCGGACGTATACCGTATTAACAACCGTAGCATGCAGCAACAGAGGCCGGCTCTCCTCCTCTATCAGACCCGCTTCCCCAAACGGCTTCCGTAGCTCCTGGCAAAAGTTGTACAGAATGCCCTCTGCGTCCGAGGGGGCAGCGTAGAGCACAGATGTCCTGGATGCACTGGTCATGGAATGTATTCCACGGAGAGATATAGACAACCCCCCCGGGGGGCCAGTCCTTCGGGTTTGCGAGGCTGTCGCCGACGCTAGAGGATTGTTGGCAGCTCTCAGCTCAGCAAGCATGTCCCTCGGCCTCAGCGTTTTCAGCAACTCAATTGTCGGACTAACATCCTCTGGCTTCAGACTCATCACCCCCAGAGTAAGATGCAGCGTCCCCGGCGGTCGTACGGCGTCATCGGGAACGCCAAAGCCGCCGGCACCCGTGACATCAGCCCGGAATGCTGCTAGATTCTTGGTCAACTGCGAACTGGCGAGTTGTAGACACAGGAAATGCGTGGGGCTGGGGCGCGGAGGCATCGTGCAGTCTGCTCGCTGCCTTGCTGGGCGGTGGTGGGTAGGCGCAAATAAATACTAGTGACACCTCTCACGTAAAGACTGGAGATGTCCTGTTCCATCATTGACCAGGTCAAGTAAGTTGTTGTCAGGTATCAGATGACAGAGTCGAATGTACCTGCAGTCAAAAGGGCCCCACCCACTCGTCCACACATCATCCCAACGACCGCTCTGCCCTGCTCTTGCATGAGACCCTGGCACACCGCTCACCAGCCTTGCTCGTGTCGAGGGTGTGAACCCCAGTAAAGTAAAGGGAGATGTGCTGTCAATAAATTATTCATCATGTATTCAATGTGCAGCTTTTCGTAAAAACCTCTAGCAGGTATCTTTTTCCCCACCATCCATTTACCGTGAGCCATCGTCAACTATGGAATCCTTCCTTGACCACAGTTGAATTACGGTAAAAACAATCGGCCTTTCCGCCAACCCAAATCACGCAGTAAAGGAATGCAAAGTCCTTGACCTTCTCTGGTACATGCTGCGCGTCTCCAGAGAACAAGAAGTATCAGAAGAAAAAAAAAACAAGAAAAGAAAGAAAGAAAAAATGTATCAAGACGCCCGGCACATGCCCTCTGATTGCAAGACTCTCCGTCGTGACTGTCACGCCTTTCTTGACATGCAATTTGGGCCAGGGTCTCAGCTCCCCGACAACTATTTCTCCGAATCTGGAGTTGGAAAAGGGGGAGGAGAGGGCCATCAGCTGAGTCTGCATCGGGAGAGAGTCTTTCAAATGCCCTTTCAAGCCTCGTCATCCTTGCCATAGTATGCCTTAAGTTTCCCCTCGACGTCTTGATAGTCCGCCTTGACGGTCACCAGGGCCTCCGCAATTCGCTTGAGACATAACTCAGAGTCGGGTTCTGAAGACCCGTCTAGATTCTCGTTCTTTCCATAACGCTGGATTTTCTCACAGCCATCTCTGACTTTTACTAGCCCTAATGTAGCAGACGAGCCCTTGAGGAAGTGACCGAGTTCCGATAAAGTCTTCAGGTCTTTCTGTGTTCTATTTGCGCAAATGACATGGTCAGCTCTCTTTACTAATCGAGCGCAGCATCTCCAGGTCAAAGGGTAGTATGGGACCTGTGTAAGCCCCAAATGACAGCGGGCCACAGCCTCCGCGGAACATGGAACACGGGGTTGCAAATCACTTACAGAGCCGTGTCCATATTGTCAAAGGTTTCTTGTGCTTGGGTGAAGAAGCCAAAGACAATTGACGAACTGAAATCATCGTTTCCGGGGTCGTCCATTTCCAGAATCTGGTCAAAAGTGTTCATATCGATAGCATCTCCAAAGTTGAGCTCGGCGGAACCGTCCGCGCCAGTCTGTTGACAGTGTAAGTCCTTGAACGGGAGAGAAGCTTTGATACATTCGATTCAATCAACCAACCTTGTCCTCAGTGGGTGACATGTTTCGGCGGCGTTTGTAGAGATGCTCCGATTCGAAGTGGAGAGCAAGTAGATCGAGGCAGTGCTGGCTGGCGAGACCCCTTTAGCCGGACTCGATGTATATATATGGTCCCAACAGCCTGAGCTGCGAGCTAGGCGAAGTGTGGAAAGAGTACGCGACCACGATATAACACGATGACAATGTTTAATTTGAGGGCTCGGGAGTTGCGACACACAATTCTGGCACCTCGATGGTTCGCAAGGCTGGTGTGTCGACCCGGCGCAAGGTACTTGCTGGCCGGCTCCGGATATTTACAGCGGCCTCGAGGCGCGGCACTGGGTCGTTCCGTTGGACAGCCGAGCTCAGATTCGCCGATGAGGTTGTCTGCCTCTCGTCGATCAAGTCTGGGACGAGGAGGTCCAGAGAAAGGCTGACAAGTGTAGTGGTGGGATTAGCTAGGCGTAGGAGCTGGCATCGACGGAGGACAAGAGGGTCGGATCAGACAAGAGGTCAGTCAGGTCAGCAAGAAGCCGCCTGGCACAGCTGTCTAAAGTAATAAATTTCTGCGAGGAGGATCCTTTCCGCGTGCCGTGGACGAGTGTGGGTAGAACGGCGTCTCTGCAAAGGACGTCAGTGGATGAACATGGAGAATTGGCCTCGGCGGGCCGCCAGTGGGGTAGAGTCGTGAAGGTGGTGGACAACGGTTGGACCATGTGGGTGGCACTATTCATTGGTAGGTGGAAGAGATGGGGGAGGTGAGGGAGACGAGGGAGACGAAAGGGAGACGCGGGCAACGAGGCTTCATGGGTGGCAGGTCGGGTGGACGAGGTGGACGAGGTGGAAGGCTCGAGGGTGGTTTGACGATGAGGACAAATATGGCACGCGGTTTAGAGTTCAGAGGCCGCAGCGATGGCCGTCTGGCCTTTGGACTTGGCTCTGCGCCCAAGGCTATCTCTCCGAGGCGAACCCAACAAGACGGAAACAATGGTCCACACCATGACGTGTCTGGCAGTGGCAGTTGAGGCCCCTCTGGTAGCGATTGCACAGGAGATAATATGTACCTACATGATGTGCAAACACGCCTGGCATGGGAAGCCGGGGAGGGCCTGGGGGCACTTGACCAGAGCGTGGCGAGCTGGGAAGAGCGTCGCGAGTCTGGCGTCTGGAGGCGGGCAATGGATGGATAAAACGACGGATACCGAGCAGGTAGATGGATAAAGTAAAGGTAGATAGATAGATGACGGCCAGCACGACTGCATGTATGTATGTACATACCTGAAGTAAGTAAGTAGGTACCTAGGTACTTAGCTAGCAGACAGCAGCAGCGAGGGAATAGAGACGGAAGCGGAGGCGGATGCAGGTTCGCGTCCTGTGAGCAAGTGGCAGCACTGGGCAAAACGGGCCGGCTCAGCAGCGCGACGCGGGGAACGAACGAACGAAGCACCAGACATGGACGCCCAGAGACCAGCGTAAAGATCAGAGATCAGAGCTCCCAGCTCCCAGCTCCCAGTTCCCGGCTCGCACGAGTCTGGCTGCTCTTGCTGCGGCGGTGCACGACGTCACGTCGGGGCCAGGAATGGCTGAGACCTGGGTGAGACCTGGATGAGACCCGGGTCTGCCCTGGATGCCCTGGATGCCCTGGGGTCGCCGTCTTCTTCTTTCGGACTCCTGGGCCCAAAGTGACAAGATGACGACGGGGGATGCCTGGATAGATGCTCACCCTCGTCAGGTCCGGCTTTAGTGGCAGACGGCCGGATGCCTGTCGAGTTGCCTAGCGCGGTGCAGGGGCAGGCAGATAGGGCCAGGGTTCAGTAGCCGGGACGACGAGGACGTGCGCGAGGCGTCGTGTGTGTGTTGTACAGAGTCCGGAGAACGGAGTATTGCGTGGCTGCTCGGGTTCAAAGTCGCGAGAATAAATGGGCCGGACGCAGCAGCCGGGGGCACTGGATCAAGAGGCGCGCACACAAAACAGGCCATGGCCCCAGGGGGGTGGTTGAGAGAAGAACCGGTAGAAGGAGGAAAAGGAATTAAATGAAAAGTGTGAGGCGGGGCAGTTGACAGCTGGGGGCGAGACGAGCGATGTCGGATATGTGGGGGATGGATGGCTGATGGCTGATGGCTGATGTGGTTTGGATTTAACACGGGCAGGCGTGAGAGGTGACGGGATGGGATGACGGACACGTCAATAAGCACATAGAAACATCCGTCTGATTGATGGCCAAGGGTGCGGCAGAGTTGCCCGTCTGCGGCTTCTACGGAGTACATGTACGCACTTGGTCACTGCGGACCAAGCAATCTACCAAGGCCTAAGAGCGTCTAGTCTATAAGTACCTAGGTAAGTACTCAAGTCAATACTAAGTACTTAAGTACTTACTACAATGAGTTTCTGGCCAGGGCAGGTCTGACGACAGGTCCGAGGGCTCCCGCTCATGCGGGCATGGGCTACGGACGGGAGCGTGGGCAAGAAGAACAGCAGTCGCCGAGCTCACGCATCGACAGAAATGTCAGATGCAGGGCGTCGATCGAGCCTCGGGGCTTCGCTTCAGAACAAGACGAGGTGACGTCGTCTGGTCTGTAGCAGTCGGCGTCTGATGAGCCATGCGACTGCGACTGCGTCTGCGTCTGCGTCTGTGCGTCTCCATATGTATCGCGCCGCGCCACATGCACGCACAATATACACGAGACATCATTGATGTCCTCCGTGGCCGTCGAGGGGTAAACAGCCTGCAATGCAAACAGCTCTGGAGATGTATAGATGCATTTGCGCAAGCTGCACGGGACTACTCGCTCCGGCCGGCAGCCGCCGTTTCAGCAGCAGACATTGCGCCTGTTTGACGCCATCTCAAAGCCATCTGGGGCCGACTGGACCCAAACGCTGGAGCAGCTTGGACTCGACGCAACCAGTTGACGTCTCTCGGTGGACGTGGCCCGCCCACTGGTGGCGGCGCGGCGCATATGTATGCACATGTGTCAAATCAAGTTGAAAAAAAAAAAAAAAAAAAAAAGAATTGACCGGGCTCTTTTTTTTTTAAAAAAAAAGTCGTACATATGCAGCGTACGGTGCTCTGGTGCTCTGGTGCTCTGGTGCTCGGGCCCCGCGGACGACACCAAGACGACAAAGAGACTGGATGCTCGCGAGCACTTGAGTCGCTGCCAACCCGCGGCGGCTCCCGATGTCAACCATTGACGGCGGCGCCCCCAGTGATGCGGGCTTCCATGCTGCTGGCACACAGGCTCAGCAAATTTCGAACGTTGGGTCTGGCCGGTTACATCATCGGACCCCTCACCTCCGCCATCGACCTCGCACCAAAGTACTCCGTGCTCCGTCTTGTGCGCCGTGCTCCATACCCGGATACTTGGTGCTGACGCCATGCATCTCCCCGACATCCAGCATCTAACATCTAACATCTAGCATCTGAGAGGGGCCAGTGCTGGGTGCTGGGCTTGATGCTGGGTTGGCTGGTTGGCTGGTTGGCTGGCTAGACCCTGTCGACAGCCACATCACCAGGCTCTCCATACCCTTTGAGCCATTTGATAGCTTCGAGGAGCAAAGCTCAAAGTTCCCTCCGCCCCGCCGAGATATGGTGACAGCAGCAGCAGCAACACTTCAAAGTTAAGCTGATTACACGCTAGTCCATCGCTCTTCCCCCCCGCCACCTGTGCCAACTGCTTGAATGAATGAATGCCACACGGAGCATCCCAGCGCCGAGGCACCCAGGCACCCAGGCATGCTTTCCCGGCCCTCGCTTACTGAGACGAGCCGAGCCTGGGCAGGCGGAATCTCCGCTCAGCGCAGTGACGAATTTCTGGTCGTCAATTAATTTACGTCACGTTAATAAACATGCGTTAATTACGGAACTCTCCCGGAGGCATTCCTATCCCTTTGAGTGCGCCAAGGTGCCGATTTTATAGCGAGCAAGGATATGGGCCAATTAAAGATCTGAAATTGAAAGGTATATTATTTTATATAGTATTAATATAATAATATACGTACTTATGATTCTTAAATATGTATTATATTATATAATAGTACTTATAATACAACTTTATTAAATATAATACAATACTTTTTAGGTATCGCAAAAAGGTGGGGACATGTACGAAGGTGGCACCTCAGCGCACTCAAAGGGATCTCCCGTCAATCAACCAACTCCTGCCTGAGCTGCTTTGTTGCTTTGTTGCCAAGGAACACCCGCTCTCCATAAAAAACATCAGAATCAACGTCCACCAGACAACTCGCCTTGTTAGTTCCCATTCTTGGAAATTTTCTTTGCTGCCACACTGACACTTTTGACAGCACTCGCCCATATCTGCCCCTGTCCGCCCAAAAGCCGCCGAATGGGGTCTGTGGTCCAGCCATGATCCCGGCCTATCGGATTCAGATCCTTGCCGCCTTACCACCCGTCGGGCTTTTACCACAGAAAAGTCATTTGTTTCTCCAGGGACCGAGAGTGTACTACAATATGTACGGAGGACGGAGGGTCTGCTTGCTGCCCTTGTGCCGTCTACAGCTGCCGTCAGCGGTCTTGCGATTACCACGGCCCCTGATCGTCAGATATGTATAGCGTATGACTGACTCCCAGTGCTACCAGTCAACCACAAGTTGACATATGATGATGAAAACATGTCTGCGCACCTGGACACGAATTCCTGTGCCAACTAAAAGAACCGCTCCTGGTATTCGAGGATCCGCCAACACCTTCCCCCAATCTCTGAATACTCGACAATAATCCCGTTGACGGTTTGACATACATGATGCTCAGGGCCTGCCTCAATCCCTCTCTACTGCGTACAAAACTGGATGAGTGGCCAACCAACCGCTGACAACACCACATGGCTGGTCGAGCTGGCACGCCGGATGAATTACCACGCAGTTCCAGCACTAAAATTCCGCCTAGAAAGAACTAGGCGAGGTACCCCAATTGATCAACCGATGAAATTGCCAAAACGAGATCCCGATCGGCGCATTATTTGGCAAACAGCCGACATAACTTGCCGCCGAGCCGGACCCCAAAGAAGGCCTTTGGTGGCATCCTGTCGATGCCAAGAGACTAACTAACAATGCCGATGCATGCCCGAGCTTGGAACCCAAGAAATCTCGTGATAGACGAGACCCGATTCTGGGGCCGGAGCATTGGAACCAATCAAGACTCGGGTTCAACACGGAATGATTGCTCGGTATTATAAAGGGTCTTATCATTCCACGCATTCATTAATTTGGTGTCAATGGCAGGTGATACTTGATAGTCACAAATGCAGTTTTCGTGACTACGTAGTATGATGCTTTCATTGCTGATAGATGATATCAGCCTGGTGAAAAAAAAAAAAAAAGCATTGACCAGCAAGCCTTGACCTTATCTTTTTGTTCTTGATTGACCGGCATGCTACCCAGATGTTTCGAGCCTGATCCCCTCGAACGCCAATGCACGGAGCTCAGGCTCCAAAGACCCATGTGAGTTGTGGACCAAGCTCAAACCGGTTTGAGGTCGTACAGGGACGTTGTGCCACGACGCTCTGCCAAGCACATCTAATATGCACATGGTTACTCCGTACGGCGTATGGATGATGTACTTTCATTTGAACCCTTGTGCGGTATCTGATAAAACCGACCACCACGCTGCGTCTTACCATTGGGTTCGTATCAACCCAACCTTACGAGCTAACGAAGCGAAGGATGCCGGTTCAACCTCCAAGATGCGGCCATGCATCGTGAACATCGTCTCACACGGCGAGCACGATTGCCTGACGTGGAGCACTGGCCACACGACGCAAGGGCGGTGAAGCGCTTGGTGCCTCTGGTGTGCATCTGGAAGTTTCCGCGCATTGCCCTCGAAGCCCAGGCGTGATGTAATTTGTGCGACGGAACCTGCCGAGCCCTGGCTTTCTTTGAGCGTCGCACGGGGAAAGTTATGCCTGTCAGCGGTGCGTGCCTGCGTGCATCTCGTGGGAGATGGGGAGTGGGCGACGGCTCACGGCGACACAAACCACCTGCCTAGGAAGGTCGTCGGTCGGCAGGCAGGTCTCGATCGTGAGCGAAGAGTCGAGATATCAGTCGCATCGAGCACCTGGTTAATACAAAGAACGGCAGTTGACTAGCATTTCAAAAAGAAAAGTTGAGACTGTGATTTGAAAAGCCTTTATTACACAATATACGTGGCCGTTTGCGTTTCTATGTATATATATCCTTCGTTGCGAGTCGCCAACCTAGAACCCCTTTCCAGGGGAGAAGAGAGAGGGGGGCAGCAGAGCGAGGGCAGAAACTAATCGAGTTGCTGTGATGGGCAGTGCGCAAAAACACCAAGTTGACTACGGCCCAGAACCCCAAGGGACGTCGTATATTAAAACATTACTTTGGACGCTACGCTGAGCAGCCAGGCAGCATCCTTCCACCCGCCTTCATCCGACATTGGGGGCGGTAATCGTTCGACGGGAGCGTGCAGAATCCCTTCAAAGTGCCTGTGGGAACCACCTCCGCGGCCGGTGCGAGCCAACTCCTCGTCATCGATATAGTCCTCGTCGTCGTCTTCAGAGTCTTCATCGTTTTCGTCAACCCTGAACAGGGACCAGCCAATGACGTTGCTGATCCACGAACCTCGACCGACCGTGCCGTGTCGGACCAGTCGCCGCACAGTGGCTTCATCGTCTTGTGTTGTATCACGCTCAAGCTCCTCGAGCTTCTCGTCCAGGTTGACAAAGTCTGGGCCGGCGATGGCAGCCTCCGGGCTGCTGGGGAAGTAGGAGTCGCCCTCCGCGGCGGCTCGCTCAAACGGGGTCCCCAAATGGCTGCGTGTCTCGGCCATGCTGTGCTTCCTGCTGTTGAACCTGCTGTTGAAACGGCTGCCATTGGGGGTTGCATCGTCATCGGCCATGACTGAGCTACCACGACGGCTTGCGCGTTGACTGGCCACTTCCCGCTCCCGAGCCAACTCCCGCTCGAATGCTTCTTCGTCGGCATCCCGCATGCCGGCCAGGCTTGTTGAGCTCTGCTTTGACACGAGCCAAGCCTGGCCTTTATATTCCCTGGCCTCGGAGCTGAGCAGCGCTCCGGCCCTCACGAGCCAGTCACTGTCGTTTTCGTTGCCATTGGCATTGCCGAAGACATCGCGTCGTCTGGGAGTTGAGGCTCCGGACCTTGACTTTTTCCCGTAGCCGGTAGCGCCGAGGTAGGTGGAAGACTTGCTCTTGGACAATGGGCCGCTGGGTGCCGAAGGGGCCCGATGGTGGGATCGCGAGCGAGGCGTCACAGAGCCGCGGGAGAGAAGTCGTGGTGTCGTGGGGGCCGACTTGCCCTGCAGGTACGTCGCATGGGCCTGGGCGGCAAGAGAGTCGGGGATGGCATCGCTGTCATTGATGGGTAGCTTGACGGTAAGGGGTGCCAGAGAGAGGTGGTTGATATTTGTTGTTGATCGATTCTTCCGCTTCGCGCGGTCGGAATGCTGATTGTAGGCAACGTCCATGATACGAGAAGCAGGGCCGAGGGCGTCAGAGGTGGGCCTATATGGATGAAAAAGCTGGGGTAAAATTCGTTGCAGAAGAGAGAGTGCGTCCACGTGCACAGACAGACAGACGCGAGACAAGAGCGAACGCCGTCGCGAGTATGTACGGAGCAATTGGGCAGAAGGGTTGTGTCGTACCTGCCCAGGTAGATATGAGAGATGTTGAGAGGCTGCTCGGCAGGGGAGGAGCAGATAAAATACTAGTAGAGGCTGATGTTTAACTAACCGAATCTAGATCAGAGGCGGTTGGCCGACGTTGCTGCTGGCTTGGTGGCTGCAAAATGCCTGGTTGAATTGTTGGCGCGGCACAAGGCTCACGGGATGCACTAGCGATTGTCGGGAAAAGAAAACACGGCATGCGCGACGTGGGAACCGGGATGTCACCCAGACTCGACTGATGAAAAACCATCTGGCTGGACCCCTCAGCTCAACCAACCTTGAACCGAGCACTAGGCCGAGGTTGCAAACAGAGAGAGGCTAATCCTACTGAAAAGTTGCACCTCAAACGCCTACGCCATCGTCAGCTGCCAGGTCACGCATCGGCAGGCAACGGAACGGAAACGCCAAAAAGGTTCTTCTTCAACCCATTTACGCTCCCTAGCATCGGACACAGCGCCCAGCTCCCAGCTAATGCAGCCGATTTTTTTTTCTCATGTGTATTTGCCACTGTAGGCTTGTAATGGATGACGGTAAGAATTTTCTTATTCATTCGTATCGACGTGCCGACAGTCGCATATTTCGGGTCCATGGCAAGTTTTGTCCTGCAGCAACTGGTGATTGGAGACTGGAGAGTCATTCGATTTGTGTGGGTTGTGTTGCATAGTGGTATGTTGAGTCGCATGTTAGGACGTTTGGAGAGCAGAGTCGGCATTAACATCTCATATCATCGCGTGTTCCATTGAGCAGCCACAATGAGGTGATTGATATCTACAAGTCAGATAGTGAGCCGCCATTTCAAGAGGGTCTTGTATTATTGTAGTACGTCATCGACGTGGTAGCCGGTTCACGATCTGGCATCATGTCGGAACCGGTGTTTAGCTACCGGTAACATCCCTGCCTTGCGGTTTGATCGCTTGCGGCTCGATTGCTCATTCGCGCGAAATGGAAACGTGTTCCATTGTGGTTTTCGCTGCCCTGGAATCAATGAAATCAAGCATACGAGGGCAGCAGGCCGTCTCATATCTTCTAATGCCCATCAGGCTTGTGATCTCTGGGAGCTTGAGTCTAAATACTTTTAGAATCAATTGATGTCACAACGGGTACGGAGCCTCGTTTCGCTCACAAGATGCCAGGGAACGCCATTGAGCTAGACGGATGAAATAGTCGACACAATAAAAATAATAAACGCCATATTCTATTCCTCTTCCCACGACACTCTCGCCCGTTTTCTTTGCTCATCCATCTCACAAAGAAGTCACGCCTCACTTATCGGTTGAACCTTCCAGTGCACTGGCTCCTTTCCAGCTGTGCCCACTGGCAGGCCAATGACAGCCACGCTAATCCAATCTGCTCATAATTTGTGCATCCCTAGCGCCGATCTTGTGCAAAATGTCGAGACAAAAATTTAGTCGCCCACATTGCACCTGGACGTCAGGTCGAGGGACTCGAGGCAATAGCTGGCACTGCTTCTACTCCCAAGCCTCGTTGTCACAAAGCAGTAGTGCCACTCTATTGGCCGCAGCCGTCTTATTTCATTCTTGATGCATTAATCTATCGTCCCTCCGTCTGGTCACATTTCTTCCACCATGCGCAACCTTCGCAATGTCCGCTTTGGGCGGTGGAGTCATCCCGATATCACATCTGCATGCTGGGACCCCGAGAAGGACGAAGTTGTTTGCACGATTGGCCCGACAGCGGACAGCACGAGTATTGAGCTGGTGAGAGTTTCGGAAAATGGACTCACGTAAGTTGATTCGAAGAATGAGATGCAGGGCCTGCACGCGAATGGTTTTGAAGAGGGCCATGTTTGAACATGACCCTCACACAAGCACACCAATTAACGCCCATGCAGATCATATAAATCAGTGGCAAGCTGGAATGCTCCCAGTCCAAGTCCAGATCTGGCAGTAGACAAAGTTGTCAACATTCAGTATCTCAGCAGCTCGGGAACGACATGTCTGGTTCTCGAAGGGGGAGACATCATTACCGTCCAAGAGGACCAATTCTCAGATCATGGCGCTCACATTGAGATCATGGGCTCTATTGATGCCGGTATTTCTGCTGCGCGATGGTCCCCCGATGAGGAGCTTCTCATTGTGACGACCAAGGCAAATACGGCTATTTTCATGGGCTCCTCCTTCGATCCCGTGGCCGAAGTCACCATGACAGCTGATGATCTCAAAGCCTCCAAACACGTCTCTGTTGGTTGGGGTAAGAAGGAGACTCAGTTTCAGGGTCGAGGGGCTAAAGCACTGCGTGATCCAACCATTCCCGAAAAAGTTGATGAGGGATTGCCTAGCGCACATGAAGATGGTTCGACAACGATTAGCTGGAGAGGCGATGGTGCCTACGTGGCTGTTAACTCAGTCCAGGAAGGTATCAGACGAGTTGTCCGTGTCTACTCTCGAGAAGGTGAGCTAGATAGCGCCAGTGAACCCGTTGATGGACTCGAAGGCGCACTTAGCTGGAGACCATCCGGCAACTTGATGGCAGGCATCCAGCGACTGGCTGATCGAATCGACGTCGTCTTCTTTGAACGGAATGGTCTTCGACATGGCCAGTTTACCCTTCGATCTCCCGAAGGCTCTGTTATGTTTCACGAAAAGATTCGCTTGGAGTGGAACTCAGACTCAACTGTGCTAGCAGTCGTACTGAATGATAGCATCCAACTCTGGACCATGGGCAACTATCATTGGTATTTAAAGCGAGAAATCACCATTAGTGCCGAATATTTATGCCTATCGTGGCATCCCGAGAAGGCCTTGCGATTTGCCTCGGCCTCGTCTTCGGAGACAGCCATCTTTGAGGAAGCTTTCCACACGGCTAGAGGGTCATGCTTGCCGCCATATGACAATGGTGCCGTGGCAGTTGTCGATGGCGAGACCGTTAAACTTACGCCTTTCCGAACTGCCAATGTGCCGCCGCCCATGTCTCTATTCGATATCACTGCCGAATCGTCGGTAGTGGATGTTGCCTTCGGGCCCCAGAACATGTCATTCGCCGTCCTGCACCGAAAGGGCATTGAAATCTACGACTGGCCAATGAAGAACGGACGCTCAATCAAGCCCAATCTGAAGTCCAAATTGTCATTCGAATCCACCGGTGTTACAGACAGAGTGGTTCCTCTACGCATCTGCAGCACATCAGGCAGCCAGTTCCGGTGCCTCGTGTCATCGGGAGACTCAAACCTGGTGCATTTTGCAGCCAGTGGTGATTCTGGCACGATTGACATTCTCAACAGCCAGGAAATATTGGTTTCCACGTCAACCTACGAAGATGCGACCTCTATAGAGAGCTACGGCCAAGATATTTCAGGAAACCTGTACAAGCTCTCCGAGACGTCGACCGACCTCCTTCCCCTCCAATTTCCTACTCACCTGCCCTGGTTTGAAATCGTCAAATTTGATGGAGAGTTAACCGCGTTTGGGCTGTCAAGAAACGGCCACATTTATGCCAATTCCCGTCTTCTAGCCAAAAACTGTACCTCGTTTGTCCTCACAGCCAGTCATCTCATCTTTACCACGAGCAACCATTTTGTCAAATACGTGCACTTGGTGTCAATTGTTGAGGGTACGTACAAGACAATTACCTATGCTCCATCAACAAATGGGACGCTAATGAACTTTAGAACTCGAGGTACCCGAAGACGACCCCGAGAAAGACGAGCGATGCCGCAGTGTGGAGAGAGGATCACGACTCGTTGTCGCAATCCCTACAAACATGAGCATCGTTCTGCAAATGCCCAGAGGCAATGTGGAGACCATCTTCCCTCGAGCCATGGTAGTTGCTGGAATCCGAAGCTTGATCGAGGAGAAGAATTACTCACGGGCGTTCGCATACTGCCGCACGCAACGTGTTGATATGAATATTCTATATGATCACAAGCCGACGCAGTTCCTATCCAATGTCAGCCTATTCTTGGATGAGTTAAATAGCATGACGCATATCGATCTCTTTCTGTCATCACTAAGGTAAACCATCTCGTGCTCAATTAAACTCGGCTACTCAACCTGGTCATGCTAACCTCACTGTAGGGAGGAGGATGTCACCGAAACAATGTACAAGGATACCAGGAAGTCACGAACCCAGCTCGGCATTGAAACTGAACCAGTTCCAACCAGGCCCTCCTCCAAGGTTAACATCGTCTGTGACGCCATTCTCAAGGCTCTTCAGGCTCGCAAAGCCACTAATATTCAAAACATCATCACCGCACACGTCTGCAAGTCCCCACCCGCTCTGGACGACGGCCTCATGCTCGTCGCCGAACTCATGCGAGAAGATGAAAAGGTAGCCGAGAAAGCGATGGAACATATCTGCTTCCTCGTCGATGTGAACCGAGTTTATGAAAATGCCCTGGGCCTTTACAATCTCGACCTGGCTCTCCTTGTGGCACAGCAATCCCAGCGTGACCCCCGAGAATACCTCCCTTTCATCCAAAACCTCCACGCTCTTCCTGAGCTGCGGCGCAAGTTCGAAATCGATGACCATTTAGCCCGACGATCAAAGGCCCTTTCTCATCTCCAGGCCCTCGACAACTTTGACGAGTTCTGCGTCTACACCACCAAACACTCCCTCTACCAAGACGCCCTCCGAATCTATCGCTACGAACCAACCCGTCTTCAATCCATCACCAATCTCTACGCCGCATATCTCGAGTCCAAATCATCCTATCGGGAGGCCGGTCTTGCCTACGAATCCCTCAAAAACTACGCCAAGGCAACTAGTTGCTACCGCGCCTCAGGCGCCACCTGTTGGCAAGAATGTCTCTACACCGCACAGCAGCAATCGCCACCCTTATCGGCAGAAGCAATGACCGACCTGGCGACTAGTCTCGCCGACGCCCTTTGGGAAGCCAAGGACTACACTTCTGCCGCGACAATCCACCTGGAACACCTCTCCTCCCTTGAAACGGCCATCAAGTGTCTCTGCAAGGGCTACCACTTCGCCGAAGCCATGCGCCTTGTTGTTCAGAAATCCTGCCCCGGACTACTCGAATCTGCCGTTGATGTAGGTCTCGCCGAAGCGCTCGGCAGCACAACCGAGTTCCTCGCCGACTGCAAGGGCCAGCTCCTCGCACAAGTGCCCCGGATCGCAGAATTGCGTCGCAAAGCCATCGAGGACCCGCTATCCTTCTACGAGGGCGAGAGACCGGGCGGCATGGACATTCCCGACGACGTTTCCGTAGCGGCTAGTTCGCGCATATCCACCAGTGCATCCCTATTCACGCGGTACACCGGCAAGGCAGGCAGCGTGGGCACCGTAGGAACAGGCGTGTCCCGCGCAACAAGCAAGAACCGCAGACGCGAGGAGAAGAAACGCGCCAGGGGGCGGAAAGGAACCGTGTACGAGGAGGAGTATCTGGTGAATAGTGTGCGAAGGCTCATCGAGCGTGTGAGCGGGACCAAACCGGAGGTAGAGAGGCTCGTGTTCGCCCTGGTAAGAAGGAACATGGCCGAGCGGGCGAGGGCAGCCGAGTCGTTGATGAATGATGTCGTGGAAGCGTGTCACACGGCGATCTCAGAGGTATTTGCTGCTCCGCCCGACAATGACGACCAACAGCAGCCAGTGGAGGGTGTGGGAGAGTTGACATGGACGGCCAAGGGCGGCGATGCCGTACTGCAAGAGTGGATGGAAGGTCGGGCCAAGAAGCAGGAAGCCCCCGTCATTACGGCTCTACAAAAGTTGACACTGTTGGGGTAAGAACAAAAGAAGAGGAGGGAGAGAAAAAGCTGGACACGGGCATGAATTTCAAAACACATTTCACAGAATATAGTCACCAAGGATAGAGGACACATATGATGAGAATATGTGCATTTGTTTGCTTCTCCCGTAGACGACAAAAATCATCATTCAAGACCGTATCATCCGTGACAAAACCAATTCGCCTCCGCTATGAAACCATGTCCTCCAAAAGCCCAACTTGAGGAAAGGAAAACGGGAAAAAAAAAAGAAGGAAAACACACAAAGGAGTTCTAAATGCACGGCCAGTGTACAACTATGATACAGTCCCAAGCCGAGTAAATCCTTGAACAAATATACCTTACGCAGCGGTCTCTGCTGCTTCTTTAGGTGCATCTTCAGTCACCGGTGTCGGTGCAGCATCATGGAATTCCTCGCCATCAGCCGACTGTTCAGCCTGCTCTTCTGACTGCAACTCTTCTTCCCCGATCGGATCCTCAGGAATGATGCCGTTCTGGCGTTCCCACACTTCACGACGTATCCTCTCATCCTTGGCCTTTCTGGAGCGTTCCACCTCTTCAAAGCCGCCGGACTTCTTCAGCTTGCCATCTTGGACGTAGGTGGCGATTTCTCGCAACATGGCATTGCCTCGACGACCCTCTAATTCCTTTTGCCGCAGCTTCTCGGCTCGTTCGATAGCTTCCAGTCGATTCTCATGATTCGGCTGCAGAGCTCGGACCTCTCCCAGCATGTCCTCTTTAGCAGCGCTTTGGTCGAGGCTGTTGCCGAGATGTGATAGACCCCTGGAGAACTGTCGTGCTGTGCTTGCACTAGCGCCAGTGCCGTTATCCTTCATTTGCTCCTTGGTAGCCTGTTCGACCAGAGTAAACGTCTCCGACGCCTTGTCCAAATCGTCATTCAGGTCCACCATAAGATCCTCCATAAGGCGTAGCTCGTCCCGACCTTGGCACACATCCTCAAGCTCCTTCTCCCAAATTTTGGTCCAAATGGGCTTCTCGTTGGCCATGTATTCCTCCATTTTCTTCAGCTCCTTGGTCAGATTTGTAATATCTTTGGCAACCTCTTCTAGTTGACGGGGAAGAGGGCGGACTCCACGATGAACAACATCTTTGCGCAAGTCCTCGATCAGGTCTTGCAGGTCATCCACCTTGCCAACTAGACGATCCGAGTCTGAGTTGAGTTGCTTTCGTCCGTTGGTTACGTATGAGTAGCCAGCGTTTCCTTCGATGTCGGGAATGGTGGCCGTGGAAGCGGCAGATTTCACGTTGGCAGCCTTCTGCCGGATACTAGTCATCGAGTTCTGCACATCTGATTGGAACGAGGAGTAAGTCTGCCGCAACACAGCTAAGTCGCGGCGCAGACTTTGGAGCTCCCCAGCTTGACCAGCATTCAGCCTACGGCCTGCACCAGGGAGCATTCTTACGCCACCTTCTGCTGCCGGCGGAACAGGTGAAGCGGTTGCCAAGCGAGCCAACTCGGTTGCCGTTTCTTGTTGCCTGTCAGACACTCGCTGAAGAGTAGTTCCTTGGTCATCGACATTCTGCTTCATCGATTGAACAATTTTGGTCAGGGCCAGCATTCCGTCATCGAAATGTCGTTTTACCTCGTCCAATGGTTCTACATTGAGAACCAATACAGTCCTGTCCTTTATATCTGATAGATCTTCTAGCTCATGTCGAACACCAGACACGGGGTCTTGAATGTAAATTTCGGGTAAATCAGTGCCATTATGCTGCGTGTTCCAGGAAAACTTTTCAATGAATGCCAATTGTAGTCTCCCGATTGATAGCTCGTCTCGTCCTTCGGCGAGGACAATCTTCTTGACTTTTGATTTGTATTGAAGGAACAATGTGAGGTCCTTGGTTGGTGTTAGCGGAGGCGAAACTTGGAAAAAAGATTCGCCGGGCTTTGATTCCGTGGGATGGGGGAGGGATGCTGGCTCGTCAGTCTTTGACTGTAGCCTCGTTTGCTTGACATCGGGTTCTGGCGGCGCACTCTCCCGCATGAATGATGAAAGATCTTGTAGAGGGCCGTTCAATGTCGCACTTGGCGCGTACTTCTCTTCCGGGGTTTGCACGGCGGGACCATCACTCAGCTCAGCAGGACCGCTGGGCTGCTGCTGGGCCGACGAAGAGGCTTCCGGCACGCCTGGCATACGAGATGGAGAAGCTTCCACGGCCGCGGATTTTGATTGACTCGACAGAGTGCGGCTATGTCGTACAGACTCCCGGGACTGTACAGCCCGTAATGATTCTCTCGCCTCTCGTCTTCCTCTGTTCGGAATCGGTGTTGTTTGCGATGGCAAGATGGGCATACCGTTTGCAGCACCACCCAAGTGTTTTGAAATTTGATATTGAGAATATCGACGAGATGCTCGACGTTCCAAATCACCCCCTTTCTGTAAAGCCGCCAGTGCGCTTGATTGCGTGTCTGGCGGCGGTGGAGGGGGAGGCGGGAAGGCGTCGATATTCAAATCGCTAGCAGAGGACGACGGTGGCATAGTAGTGTCTTCGGCTGGATAAGGTGGTGCCGAAGGGATGTTTTGTGTGATAGTTGACTGATCTGGTATATTTTCGGCACGGGCTTGGTCTCGCTGGTGGTTATAACGACGGCCCGGTGGTGTGCTGGTGTTCGTTTGCTGGTTTGGATCCCCACGCTGGGACGGATCAGGTCGATATCCGTTTTCCAAACCCTCATCTAGCAAATTGGTGAGACCGCTGGTGCCGCTCGCTGCCGTGCTGACGCTTGTCGTTCTCTCGGGTAAGCTTGCATCTCGCTCCCTCCCCTGCCTCTGCCGTAATCGTTGTTGCTTGCGCTTTAGGCCGTGCAGCAGGTTAATGATGATATCGCGAATGCGTGGAAGATACTTCTCCAGGCTGTCTGTGCTAGCTTCTTGGCTCAGTGTTGCTTCCAAAATGTGTCTTAATAAATCGGGAACATTTCCTAGGTCGGATGTATCGACATTGATGGCGGTAAATGCGCGGCATGCCATGTTGAACTCGTAGCCGAGGCGCACATAGACGTCGGAAACCTGCGTATCGGTAGCCTGGCCGCGGGACCATTGCGTCAAAGTTTCAAGCAGCTGCTTAGTGGCGACAAGTAAATGGGTAACGCTCTTTTCGATTTGTGACAGCGGCATGCTAGATGAGCTGCCACCAGACCCCTAGATGATGAGAAGAGCGTCGGTCAGCACATGGAACAAGACCACACACTTGGTAGCCTCTCGGCCAAGAATGGCCACGGAGCGCGGCGCGGGATGAAGTGCAAGGCTCACCTCACGATTTGGCCGCCTCGATAGACTGCCTTGCCCAGATCGGTTCGAGGATGTAGATGATCGTGGTTGGACTCCAGCCATGCCAGGAGAGCTGGGCCGCACACTGGGCGGCGGACCTGGGTCAGCGCCAGGCGAGCGGCGTTGTAAATAGCCTCGTTGCGACGGGCCAGGTTGGGCTTGCATCTTGTCGGTTATTCCGTAATTTCGGTGCTTCTCGTGTCCGAGGTTGGGAGGCGGTTCAGTGCTGGAACTTGTCGCGATGACGAACGTGTGCAACGACACATGGACGTGGACCGAGTTGACAGGTTGACTGACGGACAAACCGCCACCGTTGGATTGGGCAGCAAAGACTCCAGATTAGACGGTAAATGCAAGACGTCTTACAGAGCAAAAAACCCTCATGGCCGAGCAAGGAAGGGACAGAGTTGGAGCAAGAATAAAAAGCGTGCACAGGCTGTGCCAGTTGTGGCGATAACACAGAGAGGAGAGGATGCGATGATGGAAACCGAACGAGATGCGGCGTAGGATCCGGAGATCAGTTCAGGAGGACGTGACAGTTGGAGGTCCAGATCGGGGCAAGTCCAGGTGTCCAAAGGTCAACGGTGCTACCAGACTGTGTGCGCGCAAGTACTCGATACCCGCAGTGCCCCGACTTGAGCGATGCTAATAAGAGCTGGAGGTCAACTGGCACCTGCCCACGGGGGTAAAGATTCCCATCAAGTACTCAGGAACATAGTCTGAAGCAAGTACTTAGTACTTAAGTACCTAGAGCACCACAAATCCTTTATCTGGTATTGACCAGACGCAGTACTAAACCGCGCTGCGCTGTACAATTTTAGAACCCACATGCAGCCACCATGCTGAAGGACCAGACTGAAGTCAAGTACCTTCCCTGCAAGCCTGGCAGCAGAGTACTTAGTACCCAAGCACTTATCCTGAGCCGACCGCCTCCCACCAACGAACGGACACCTGGAGGAGCCCTTGCAGCAGCCAGACGTAATGTGCCAACTCGTAAAACAAGGGAGCATTGAATCGACCAGACATGGACCCATCTGCCATGTCGACACTCGCAGGCGCCCCATGACCGCTCATGCAGGACGGCCAATCGTCCAGTCGACGAGATGCTACTCCGTACAAGAGTAGAGAGAGTGAAGTGTGCCGTGCGAAGCAAAGAGCAAAAATTGGGCAATTGCGAAGGCGAAGCAAGGTGCGTGCAGGATCGATGCGGCCGATTCCGGTGGCTGACCGAGCACCAGCTAGCCCTACCTGAGAATGGCAGCCCTTCACACGGACAATGTTGTACAAGATCTCGCTTCGAATCAGGGCTGTGACCTCTGCTCTGTCCCGGTGTATCAACGTTATTAGGATCATCAAATGTACGCGCAAGCTCTTGGCAACTCTCCCCATGGTCCGTGGCACTGCCCTTCTTATTAATACGAGCAACGCCTTTGTTGCATATTTTCCAGAGCCGACCACTGACCAGGTCGCGCGGCACACGCTTTCACATACTCTGGCCGAAGCAGTCCGAACCGGTTCGCTGCTGAAATCAACCAAGCATCTGCAGGTGGTGTCACAATCTCAGGACACACAGATGCTTCAGGCTCGGGGCCCAGGCCAATGCCGAGCAAAGATGGTGGTGGCATTGATCCCAAAATAACCCACCCGTTTACGGTGGCCACTGAGCATCCCACCACGACATACATATAATATCAAGCTAGGTTTGTACGTACGTACCAGCGTCCATGATGCTGATTCCTAGACTACCTAGGTGCTTCCAATCTTCCCCTCTTCGTCTCATCCCTCCCATCCAGACTTTGGTGTGTCAGTTGAATGATAAAATTCACCACGTTCGACCGCAGGTGAAGCTGAAAGTAACTAGCCAGTTGGATGTTTCGATTTGAGCATGATGCCGTGTTTCATGTTGCAACTCCAGAAACATGCTTGTGGGGACCCCAAAGCTCGATAGTACCAACTTGACCCTAACATGCCTAGCCTAGCCAACTGTTGCTGCTTCTAATGTAAGGGGCACGCGAGGAATTCGACTTCATATCTTGAGATTGTTTCGGGACCAGCGGGTGCTAGGTGCTAAGGGCAACATGTCACGGTTCAAAGCCAATGCTTCTGCGAGATTATGCTGAACTTTGGCCGAATCTCTTAGCTTCGCCGAAAGACGTGGTCATATAACCAGCACGCAATGTCCCACAATACCATAATACTTGGAGTAATAGATAAGGAAGGAGTTTCTTTTCCCCCATCAGGATATCTGGTCGCGCCTCCCAGCCATGTATGCCCTGCGATGACGCCCTACGTCGACAACCAGCGCCTCCAAAAGGTAGTGAAACACTTCCGGCAGAACCAAGAATCTTATTGGAATACGGTAAAATGGGGACAGATCATGACAGATAGGCCGCCGTTTGGCTTTCTCGAAAGAAAACCGCACATTTTCCCCAGCACCGACCCAGTAGCCTAGTACAGGCACATCCACCTTATAGAGTATTCAGTATCCAACTTTTACTTTTGCCTACCTAAATCAGTGAGTTTGTCAACGAGCAGGTCACGGGAGTCTATTAGCCTCAACATGAAAAGCTAGCCAGTCAACTAGAGCCTGTCCTTTCTGATCAGTTGAAAGTTGCCATTTCCGATATTCAGCTCCAAGAAAGACGTCAATTTCGTGACTAGATAAATTCATATAGGGACCTGTCTGCTCTTCAGTTCAATCCAGAGCCACATCGTGTTAGAGGTTTACTATGCGCAACATGTAAGAATATGCGCAACATGCTGGCTAAAAGAGACTAGACGACGTCCGGGAGAGACTTGGAGAGAGACTTGGAGGAACTTACCTGCCTAGTAGGTAACCTAAACATCTGGTCTCTTTTTTTATAGCGACATCAAGGACTTGCATCAACACAGACACTTCACAAGCTAAAGTGCCTGCTGTCGTGTGGTATCTGGTCATGTTCTCATTTGGTAACCGTGTTCGCTCGTAGGGTATTTAGGCTACTATCCCAGGATTTTAAAATAAGGAATAGGTAGAGCCATAGATGCCGCAGCCAAGAGAGAGCCTTGTATTTGAAGATAAATTTCAGTATCAATAAGTATATGCCAAGCCTGTACATTAATTAATTAATAGATTTCCAGTCCCGCGTGACAATATCATTACTTGGAACCAATGAATTGCGTGTTAGCAGGGGCATTTAGCTCAAGAGACCAAAATAAAAGATGGAGAGTCCGAGAAGGAAGTAAAGAAAATAAAATCACATGCGTTGCTGAAGAACTGGGGCCATCTGGATGGCGACGAGGAAGGCGCAGGACTAATACCAGGCAGCAGTGAGCATGCGCTCTACTCCTCCTGCGAGTCCTGCCACTTGGCGTTGCGCTTCAAACCCCGCCTCACTTACATCATTACATGGCATCACTTGAACACATCGCACATCACACATCAACACACAAGCAGCACCGGCAAACCACGTCACCAGCAAACCAGCACACGCAGCCTACCATGCCGGCCGAAGGAGTCTGGATTTCCCCCACCGGCCGCAAATCATTTATCCCCCTCGAAAACAACCCCGAAGTCTTCACCAGCCTCGTCCATGATCTCGGCGTCTCCCCCGACCTTGGCTTCTATGATGTCTATAGCCTCGATGAGCTGTATCTCCTTTCTCACATCCCGCGCCCAGTGTACTCCCTCATATTCATAGCGCCCAGCGACATGCAAACGGCTGTCCGCCAAGAAGACGGGCTGCCCAAGTCCGTCACCAACGGCGGCCTCACGTATGACAAGAGCGGCCCAGACGAGCCCGTGGTTTGGTTCCTGCAGACAATCAGCAACGCCTGCGGGCTATACGCCTTGGTTCACTCGGTAGCGAACGGGGAGGCGAGGCAGTTTGTGAGCAAGGACTCCGTGTTGGACAAGGTGATTGAGACGGGGTTGCCGCTGAAGCCCCAGGAGCGAGCAAAGGGCTTTTATGACAATCAGGAACTAGAGGAGGCGCACATGCGGGCGGCGAGGCTTGGCAGCTCTGAAGCGCCGCCAGCGGAGGTTCACGCTGGACACCACTTTATTGCCTTTGTGAAAGGCAAGGATAGTCATCTCTGGGAGTTGGAGGGCACCGCGGATGGACCGATTGACCGCGGAGCCCTAGCAAGTGACGATGACATGTTGAGTGAGAGGGCCTTGGAGCAGGGCGTGAGGAGGTTTATGAAGTTTGGCGAGGGAAACGTCAACTTTAGTATTGTAGCTTTGGCCAAGAAACAGTAAAGCGCATTGGGACGCTGTGGCCAAAGTTATAACTACCTTTTTGAGGTTCTCTGAACATTGCCACATGTCATTCAAAGTTTAGAGTTGAAATTCTATGCCCACCTATGTCATGATTAACCCAACTGACGGTTTTTCAGTCAATACATCATGGTTCATTGTTAGCACCTCGCACACTGGGACCGTTTCTGTTGCTAACCCTTGTTTCTCCAGTATCTGCATGTGTTTGAGCGCAGAAATCGCTCATTCGGGTCCGTCAGCCGTGGCTTCACCACTTCTGAGAGAGGTTTCCAATTTGTACTTCCAACTTCTCCATAGGCCGATGGAGAATTGCGTTCCTCTCGGCCAGCCGTGTATTCTGGGAATGACGGACTCACCTCTGCTAACCTCCCACATCCATCTCTTGAATCTTCCAAATGTATCATCATTCCACAAACAGCCAAACTCTATCTCTCTAGAATATCCAACCATGAGAGGAACCCTCTATGGAGGCGATTTCCATAATTCTTGTATAAACTTCACAGCCCGGTCCTGGGCTGCATGATTCGATGGCACCTGCATTGAGATCAATTTCACACTCATCTATATGAGGCTCATTAGAGTGTCTGGATTCGGCCGTCGAATCGTCCCATTCTCAAGTTGCTGTGGTGTTGGGTCTTGAATCTTTTTGCACACTTCGAAACATTTTTCCAGGTCGGCTCGAATAAACTCGTCGACAATTTCGGCAGCGTAAATTGGGAGCATGTAGCCATTCACCATATCTTCTAAATTTAAATTCGGCTTCCGAATCTTTACGGTCGCAGAGTCGTAGGTCAATGTACCGAGACATGTTGTAAATGAGCTAGCTGACAAGGTATTGTAAAAGGCAGGCGTGTGACGACAGCCAGAAGTACTAGCTAAAGATATAATGGCTTTTTTGTGTCCCGACAAACACGAAAGGTAGGAGAATATTTCAAAAAAAAAAAAATCCCCAAAAATAAAGCCTGTGAGATAAGAAGCAAATAAGTGTTCTAAAAACAGCACTCAAAGACAATATATCTTTAGAAAAGGATTATCTGGATATCTTCTTCACTGACATGCTCGGCACATAATCACACGAAGCAGGCAGATTGCTCCTTCCTCGGCACTTTTTGGTGGGGCAATCGCAACCCACGCCTGTCTAACGTGTAGCGCCTCCCCTTCCCTCCCCAAGTGTAGTGGCGGCCCTGGTGGGTACCATACCACATGTGCAAACAGGTCGCATGTCACCGGGTCAGACATCAAACCTCAACTGCTAATTACTGCATGCTTTGACGCCCATTGCTCCTTCCGCGGAGTCTCCCGCTCTGCCCTGTCAAGGTATTCGACTGACTCCTGTGGAGACTATCGTATGGCTTCAGTACTCTCTACGCCAGAATGGACAGCTCTCAGGCACCATTAATGGCGGACAACCGCGAAGGGGACGATGTGGAGGCCGAAGAGGACAACGTCCACGAGGGACGCCTCACCAAAGACGTGGATGCGAATCCTGGTGTCTTTGTCGTGGCACTGACCATTGCAGCAGGAATCAGTGGGCTTCTTTTTGGATGTAAGCCAAATCCGCAAGAATACGTGAGATGCAACTTGACTCTATTCTAACCGCGTATTCTAGACGATACAGGTGTTATATCTGCTACGCTAGTGTCAATCGGAACCTCCTTGTCTAACCGCGACCTCACATCTATGGACAAGTCTATCATTACATCCTCAACGTCGCTCTTTGCTCTCCTCATCTCACCCTTTTCTTCCGTGCTTGCCGACCGCCTTGGCCGCAAACGAATTGTACTATATGCCGATATTCTGTTCATCCTTGGAGCCGTTCTCCAGGCGATATGCTCCACTGTGCCTGTCATGATTGCCGGACGCTGCATCATAGGAGCAGGTGTTGGAGCGGCAAGCTTCGTGGTGCCGTTATATATCGCAGAGCTGGCTCCGGCGTCGCATCGAGGGAGGCTTGTCACAGCAACAGTCTTGTTCATCACACTGGGACAAATGGTTGCTTATGTTGTCGGGTGGGCATTCTCAGCATATGGCTCCAAGGAGACGGGTTGGCGGTGGATGGTTGGACTTGGTGCTTTGCCCGCTGGATTTCAAGCTGCCATTGTCGTCTTCATGCCAGAGACACCTCGTTGGCTTGTCAAGGCCGGCAAGCCAGCACAAGCCAAGACCATCATTCAGCGAGTCAATGGCGGAGCAGGGACTGTGGAAGACGCAAGCGCGATAATCAAGGAGATTGAAATAGAAATTCGCGAGGAAGAGAATCTTGGACGACGTCGAGACCAGCAGTCTACAAGATGGAAGTGGCTTGGAGCCTGGCGGGATCTATTTGGTGAAGGGAAGAACCAACGAGCCTTGGCAATTGCATGTTTGCTGCAAGGCCTGCAGCAGCTGTGTGGATTTGTACGTACACGAAAATGCAGAACGGCACTTGAATTTTTTTTCGGAAAACATTACTGACAGATGACGCAGAATTCTCTCATGTACTTTTCAGCCACCATCTTTACTGCTGTTGGCTTCAGTAGTCCAACATTAACATCACTGACTGTCGCAGTCACCAACTTTGTGTTCACATTGGTGGCACTGGGACTCGTTGATCGAATAGGAAGACGGCGAGTCTTGCTGTATTCCATACCGTTTATGATTTTGGGCTTAGTATGCACGGCCGTTGGGTTCTCTTTTCTTCCGTCTGGCGTCACAAATTCTCAAACTCAGCCCCAATCAGAATCTGGCAGTCAATGGGCAGCATACGTGATACTGATCAGTATCATGCTCTATGTAGCCTCATATGGAATCGGATTGGGAAATGTGCCCTGGATGCAGAGTGAGCTGTTCCCTTTGTCGGTCAGATCACTGGGAAGTGGCATCGCAACTGCGACGAACTGGAGCGCCAACTTTATTATTGGGCTGACTTTTCTACCACTGATGGATGCTCTCAGCCCTTCGTGGACGTTTGTTTTGTATGCACTCGTATGTGGGATTGGATACGCATTGGTTTGGCGGATATATCCAGAGACAGCGGGCCTGAGCCTTGAAGAAGCGACTGCATTGTTAGAGCGAGGATGGGGGGTTTGATACATTGGATGTTGAATATTCTGAGCCTGCACAGGGGTAGCCGTCGGGTACATGGGGTAGGCAGCCGGCCGGATATTCTGCGACCTTGTAAGATAGAGTAGAAGCCATATATGACTGTAATGCAGGCTTATCATTGATCAATAGAAGCAGGCCATGTAGCGTCGCATTGTGACTCGGGTATCCCGCGGTCTGTAGTGCCAGAAGTGGTGCTGGAGTTGTAGGGTTATAGTATCGCAGAAAGGGAGGAAAGGCACTTGCAGGTTGTTGTAAAAAATGAGTGCAAATCAAGGAGAGCGTCGGGTTTTTGTCGTCTTTGCACCAGCCGAGCAACTTTAAATTGAACCACCTGTGACCACCAGTTCATCACCAATTGGCACAGGCCTATTAATCCCATGTCAGCATGTGCAGACATCTGGAGTCTCAAGAGAACCCGGCCGGTTTTAACGCTCAAGTATTATTGCATGGCTCCACGAACATGGGCCACGGCAGATCAGATAAAGCCGATGGCCGATGCTTTATAAGAATTACGTCGTTATGCAGATGGGCCGGCGAGTGCGGGAGAAGAAACGACGGAATTTCCCTACTGTTTGTCATGCGCACTATGCCGCACTGTGGCTTATTCAGCGACGCTCATGGCTGGGCGAATTTGCATCGGCGTCAAAATGCCGAACGCAGCCCCGGTTGCGGAGGTGATTGGCGCAAATTTCCGCGCGAGGCCCCCGCTGTTGGACTGGTTTACGGCCGTTATGTCCACGGCCCATTTTTCCAGTGTTTTTCGGTGGCTTGCTGCGGGCAGGACGGGGCAGCACCGGACATTCGCTCTCTTCAACGGGCATTGGCATGGTGCTTCTCGGTGCTCTGTAAGCATTGTGCATTGTGGTGACTTGCTATCCGTCCAATTCGTGTTCTTAAATATTTGGGGCACCCGTCCCTGGCCCGTACCAGCCAAGTTTATTTGATTCCCCCAATACTAATAACGACCTAGGTAATAACATTGAACCATTTCCGATCCGATCCCGAATTGACTGGTTGCCCCACCAGCGACTAGCGAACTACGACGCTCTCATCATTGAGCCATCAGGAATAGCGAAAAGCTTAGCTTCATTTCACCTGCCATCTCTTCCCCTGGGCGACGCCATCTTTTTCTTTTCCTTCAACACTCCCCCTCCCTTTCATTTTTTTAATATTTTTTTAATCCATTGTTTCTACCGGCGCTTCTCCTGAACCAGTTCATCGGGAACCTCGGGACTGTGAATCTTGACGCCAAAGATCCAGCGACATCAATTCAGCCACCAACGTAACAACATTCCCATCCATACCCGCAACAGCTTTTTAGAAAGAAAAAAAATAATAAAAACCACCACAAGGCCACCATGCCGATGGACATAGTGGACCGAGAGCTCGCCGACGCAGAAGCCGACGCCTCGCCAGGGCGTTATCGGCGACGGGCTAGCGATGAAATCGAGCGCGTCCTGTCCGCCTCATCAGCCTCTACATCCTCGGAGTCCAACGACGGCGATAGTGCCTTCCGACGGAACATGAGCCGCGTCTCGACGCAGAATGACCTCGAGCGTCACCCCACAGAACTAAGCCGGATTGCCACCGCGCGCAGTCAGCATAATATTACCGTGGGAGGAGGTCTGCGTAGTCGCACCGTGAGCAGGGCCTCGAAGAAACCGCTGCCAGCATTCGGCGCGGGAAAGTCGTATCCGCCGCCGTTGCCAGAGCGAGAAGAGTACGTCGTCGAGTTTGACGGGCCTACCGATCCGTTGCATTCGCAGAACTGGCCCATGCGGAAAAAGGTCTTGACCGCAGCCATGCTGAGCTACACGACGCTCACATCCGCCTTTACATCATCCATCTTCTCTGCAGCCACAACTTCCGTGGCTGCAGAGTATAACGTCGGATCCGAGGTCGGCCTGTTGGGAACGACATTTTATGTGCTTGGTTTCGCCTTTGGTCCTACCCTGTGGGCTCCCATGTCTGAGCTGCGCGGCCGACGACTCCCCATTGTGGTGTCCATGTTTGGATTCTCGCTCTTCTCGATTGCTTGCGCCACGGGCAAGGACATCCAAACCATTCTCATTTGTCGATTCTTCTCGGGCTTGTTCGGCGCTTGTCCGCTCGCCGTCGTCGCCGCCGTCTTCTCAGACATGTTTGACAACAGGACGCGAGGTATTGCCGTCACCATCTTCTCCATGGCCACCTTTACAGGGCCCCTCCTGGCCCCCTTCATCGGCGGCTTCATCGTGTCGTCGCACCTTGGCTGGCGATGGACGGAGTATCTCGCTTCCATCATGGGGTTTGTCGCCTTCATCCTCGACCTGTTCTTCCTAGAAGAGACGTACCCGCCCGTCATCTTGATCGACAAGGCTGCCGATTTGCGACGACGCACCAAGAATTGGGGCATCCACGCCAAGCAGGAAGAAATCGAAGTCGACTTCAAGGAGCTCATTCAGAAGAACTTGTCTCGTCCCATGCGTCTCCTCTTTACCGAACCCATCATTCTCGCCCTCTCCATCTACATGAGTTTTATTTATGGCATCCTGTATCTCTTCCTTACCGCCTATCCGCTCGTCTTTGTCGGCGTTCACGGCTTCAATTCTGGACAGAGCGGTCTCACCTTTTTTGGTATGATTACCGGACAGCTCCTGGCTGGTGCCGTTGTTATCATGCAGCAGCCCTGGTATAATCGCAAATTGGCGGGGAACAATGGCATTCCTGTGCCCGAGTGGCGATTGCCAAGCATGATGGCCGGAGGCATTTCCTTTACCATTGGCATCTTCTGGTTCGGATGGTAAGCAACAGCTCTCGCCCCTCTCCCCTCTCCCCTTTCCCCTTTCCCCTTTCCCGACAGCACAAAAAATCAAATCAAAGCTAACAATCGTGGGTGTAGGACTGGATTCTCCAGCAGCGTCCACTGGATTGTCCCCGCCCTCAGCGGCATCTTCACCGGCTTCGGCCTCATGTCCATCTTCCTCCAAGCCCTCAATTACCTTGTTGACGCATACCTCATGTTCGCTGCCTCCGCCATTGCCGGCAACACGTTCTTGCGATCTCTCGCAGGTGCCGGTTTTCCACTTTTTGCCCGCCAGATGTTTCAAGGAATGGGCATTCAGTGGGCGGCCACGCTGCTTGGTTGTGTGGCCGTGGTGTTGGCCCCTATGCCCTTTATTTTCTACAAGTACGGCAGCAGGATTCGCGCCAAGAGTGCGTACGCGCCTACTTTTGCGGCGCCGGCCATGAAGAACAGCGAAGACGAGCCGGGCGACTCGTCAACAGAAAAGGAAGGCGAGAATCATGCCGCATTGGCCAGCGCACCTAGGAAGGAGAGCGAAAATGGAGTCTTGCAGAATGCTTAATCAAGCTCATGATGCCAAACCGTGTGCGGGAGGGGGTTTCATTTGCTATATCGATTCCCCAGGTGTGCATGGCGTTATGGTCAATGCCTGGGAAATTTAATCTTGTTTGAATATTAGAGGGATTTCGAGTCTTTTTGGGGGGGGCCATGTTGGAAAGGCCGATGTTAAAAAATAACTGCATCGCAGGCTTCCGCCATGCGAGCGGCAGGCATAGCGCCGAAAAATCACTTGTTCACAAAGAACGGCTACATGTATACCTATCTAGCTGCATGATCGCATTATACCAGTGGCGGCTGCAGGGCCTTATGGCTTTTGCTGCTGATCACGCTTGCTATTTAATAGACTACTACTTGGAAAGTAAAGTGTCAAATACCACATTTCCGAGCCTTACAAACGCGTACCTGCTGGCTTTTGGGACACGCCTGGACAATTGGCGATGTCGATTCGGACAGGCTCATCTGCGGTCGCATTTGAAAGAGTGAAACGCAATGTCAGGGAGTAGTGGTCAAATCCCCCCGGTTTTGCGTAGCCGTTATTATGTTTGTATGCCATCAGCCTCGGATAAGTAGTGGCAGAGTACGGAGCGCTTCATCCGGCATTTCATAGTCGTCGACGCCACTTAGGTATGCACCTCAGCTTTTCCAGGATATTTACAGCTGAAGGCTTAGATTTTGTGGGGGAAAGGCTTGGCAATTCTGCAGGACTTGTTTTATCAAGCTAAACATGGCAGACAATTGAGATCCCATCTGCCATCTGCCCATCTCTCCATCCCTCAATCTCTGGATGTGAGCTTGTTTGCGTAGCCCCACAGGAGCTTATTCGCTTGTGCGGCGGCAGGTGCAGATCGATTGCCACCTCCGTAACTGCCCCCGGCCAAATACGTCATAGATAACTTGATGACGGGTCATAGCCATCGTGACGGTGCGTCCACAAACAAGACGTATTAATCGGCCAAGGCTGGCGCCTGGAAAAAAGATGTGCATTTATTCCTTCTTCTGCTGAAACGGCGTCAAATACAGAAACACCGGCACATACGTCTGGTGCGTCTGGTGCTTAGCCTACTACTAAGACGACTTACACGGAGCCTCAGCACAACTCTATAACGAGACGCAAGGATTACGCACGTCGCGTATTGCCGACTACAACTCACCATCAGGCATTGGATCGTGTAAGGCGGGAAATCAGAAGCAGCTGAAATAATCATGAATGTCGACGATCACGTCATGCCTTCGGGCCAACATTACAGCGCGAGCAATCGCGTCCCTAATATCCAGCAATTCATGGACCAGCTTGATGCAGAAAAGAAGGAGAGAGATGC